TTTATTTGACAGAGAGAGACACAGCGAGAGAGGGAACACAAGCAGGGGGAGTGGGAGAGGAAGAAGCAGGCTCCCCGAGGAACAGGGAGCCCGATGAGGGGCTCCATCCCAGGACTCTGGGATCATGACCCGAGCCGAAGACAGATGCCCAATGACTGAGCCACCCAGGCGCCCCCGAAAAAAGTTTTAAATTATCTGTTCATAATTGAATTGTAGTGCATTTGCTTTAAAACAACAACAACAACAACAACCTTAAACATATGAACTGAATTCAAATGGATTTTTACTGATGTGATTATCAGATGATGTAAAAAACATCTTTATCATTAGGGTGCATAACGGTAATAATACCATGGGGCTCCTGGGTGGCTCAGTCAGTTGAGCATCTGACTCTTGGTTTCAGCTCAGAGCCTGATCTCGGGATCATGGGATCCAGCTTGTGCTCAGCTCCGAGTCCGCTTGAGATTCTTTCCCCTTCTCCTTCTGCCTGTGCTCCTTCCCCTGCTCTCTCTCTCAAATAAATAAATAAAATCTTTAAAAAATTAAAAAATAGTAATAATACCTCTATGCATTTTTTTCCCCCACTGTAGCTCTAGTTTCCTATACTATGTTGTCAGTGACAGAGGCCCAGATTTCAGAAGGGTAGAGTCTGTGACCTACCTGAAAAATAAGAATGCTGCAGGGACGCCTGGGTGGCTCAGTCCGTTAAGCATCTACCTTTGGCTCAGGTCATGATCCTAGGGTCCTGGGATTAAGCCCCGAGTCAGGCTCCCTACTGAGTGGGGAGCCTGCTTCTCCTTCTCCCTCTGCCCTTCCCCCTGCTCATGCTCTCTCTCTCAAATAAATAAATAAAATCTTAAAAAAAAAAAAAGAGTTCTTTATATGATTCTTGCAACTTTTTTTTTGTAGGTTTATCACTATTTAAAAAGCAAACCAAACAATCAACAGCAAGATATCTTTTTGATGGAGTGGTGAGTTTGGGCTCTGGGATCAGATAAAACAGGGACTCAAATTCCCTATTTTCTGTTTTAATTTTTAATATGGTAAACATCAATAAACATAACTCATAAATAAAGACTTTATTTATCACTTATGAACCAGGCACTATGCTGAGTATTTTACACACACCATCTCAGTTAAGCCTCATAACAACCCCACAATAAATAGGTACCATTAGCAGTACTATGCCCATCTTATAGATGAGAAAACTGAGTCTCAGGGGAGTTAAGTGACTTGCCCAGTATCACACACTTAGTTAATAGAAATTTTAAAAATATTTAATTCCCTTAAAAACCTCAGGGATCCAGGGACCAAGGCTGGGCTTAGAACATCCTAGAAACCCACACAATCCAAAATGGTGGTGTGGCCCAGTGGAGTCAGGGATGCTAAACTCATTTAAAAATAAAAGTCTGTTGAATCACTATACTGTATACCTGAAACTAATATAACACTGTATGTAAACTAATTGGAATTAAAATAAATAAATAATAAAAATAATACAAATCATAAGACTATTATATGTTGACATAATTTTTATGCAAAATAACTTTATTTTCATTTAAAACTCTGGTAAGGAGATGGCTTTGTTTTACATTTTAGCAAATCTCTTTCATGTATGACTAATAGAAGACAGTGGGTTCTCATATCTGCTTCTGTTTTCCAACTATTACTGTAAGTTCTTTCGGTAAAAATATATGAAGAAAATCCAGCTTCACATAGATATGTAGTTGAAAAAGAGTGTTTTGGGGTTCCTTGCTGGCTTAGTTGGTAAAGCATGTGAGTTCAAGACCCATGTTGGGTGCAGAGCTTACTTAAAAAAAAAAAAAAAAAGGAGTATTTTAAGTCTTTTCAGATAATTGTGGATTTTCTTCTTTGATACTACACCAAAACTCAAGAAAGTGGTGTTTTTTTTAAAAGGTTAGTTGCAATTTGGAATCTGCAATCATGTCGATTAACTTTTCAAACTCTGCTCATTGAATATTGATGAGCCTGAATATTTTCTTCAGTGTTCTAACTTGGATTCAGGTATCTTTTTTGTAGGTTGCATTTTCCTGACCTCAGCCCAGTTTTCTACTGGACTGTTTGGTTTGGTTTGGTCTTTTCTTTTTTTTTTTTTTTTTTAAGATTTTATTTATTTGACAGAGAGAGACACAGCAAGAGAGGGAACACAAGCAGGAAGAGTGGGAGAGGAAGAGGGAGAGGCAGGCTTCCCGCAGAGCAGGGAGCCCGATGCGGGGCTCGATCCCAGGACCCTGGGATTATGACCCGAGCTGAAGGCAGACGCTTAACCATCTGAGCCACCCAGGCACCCAGGTTTGGTCTTTTCTTATTAAAGAGGCACATAGTGCATGGGGTAAGATTTTAATCTCTGCAGTCATGCTGCTTAAATTTATGCTTAGCCTCTGGCACTTAATAGCTGTGTGACTTTAGGAAAGTTTTAAAAATTTCTCTGTGCCTGTTTTAATACCTGAAAATGAAGATCATGGTGAAACCCACCTCACAGGGCTTGAATGAGATAATATACATGTTATGGACTGAATGTTTGTACTCCTCCCACTTATATGTTGAAATGTTGAAACTCTACCACCTAACCTGATGGTATTAATAGGCAGGACCACTGGAAAATAATTAGGATTAGATGAGTTCATAATGGTGGAGACCTCCTGGATGGGATTAATGCCTTTAGGAAAGAACTTGCTCCCTTCCGCTTTGTCAGTTGAGGATACAATAAGTTGGCCGTCTGCACCCCAGAAGAGAGCTGTTACTAGAACTTAACCATGTTAGCACCCTGATCTTGCACGGAGCCTCCAGAACTGTGAGAAATACACTTCTGTTGTTTAAAAGCCATTCCGTTTATGGTATCTTGTTTAGCAGCCTGAATGGACTAAGACAATGCATAAAGTGCTTAAATCAGTGCCCACAGCGAGTTCACAAATGAGCATTTGCTACTATTATTAGATTTTTTTTTCTGTATACGAATCATCTGTCTAAAACTCACCGCCCTCTGGACATTTCCATTCTGACACCTGAGACATGGTGCATATTCAAACATTTCCAACATGAATTTCAAACCCATCCCTTAGCTCTTCACTATACTGATAAAGGACAGAGACACAGGTCAGCTACCCTTATCACTGGACTCAGGAACATGGGATCCATCCTTTCTCCGCTCATCTTTTTATGCCTAATTGGTGAGTAAAACATGCCAAATCTTCCATGAAAATAACTGTTTAATCTCCCCATTTGTATTTTATTAATTTAGTCCTCATGGTTTTATTAGTCCAAAACATGAATGATTCCTTTAGAGCCTGGGATAGAATTGCACTAATTGGGGGTAGTGACCCAGGGATGGTTTTTACAGTGAGAAGAGAACAAGGAACCTAGGGACCACTAAATGGAAGAGAGGCAGCACAGAGCCCAGAAAGAGGGTTGGGCAGGAAGAGAAGAATAAGGCAAGGATTGCCACTTAAGTATTTGATTTACTTTCACTTATGGAGGAGTTACTTCCATTCATTTTTCTTAAAACTTACAAATGCCTTCCTTCTTCATTCTGGAAAAAGACCATAAGCAATTGATCTTATCCTTGCTGTCCCATGTTCGAAGCAGCCTGGATCCAGCTGAAAGTTCACCAAAGCTGTGGCTCAGCCTCAACTTTGTTGGGAAATCTTGGGCAAATGTTAATTCTGGAACCTCAGTTCCTTCATTGGTTAAAAGGTGTATAATAGTTTGTTTATAGGAGAAAATTAGATTCATGTGTATGAAAATAATTTGCAAAAAAAAAAAGCACTATATGAGATCAGGTAACATGGATGTTCTAAATGTCAGGCCTTGTTTAAAAAGCCTAACTGGGGGCACCAGGGTGGCTCAGTTGGTTAAGCTTGTGCCTTGGGCTCAAGTCATGATCCCAGGGCCCTGGGGTGGAGACCCCTGTGGAGCTCCCTGCTCAGCGGGAAGCCTGCTTCTCACTCTGCCCTTCCCTGCTTGTGTTCTCTCTCATAAATAAAATCTTAGGGCGCCTGGGTGGCTCAGTTGGTTAAGCGACTGCCTTCAGCTCAGGTCATGATCCCAGGGTCCCGGGATCGAGTCCCGCATCGGGCTCCCTGTTCTGCGGGGAGCCTGCTTCTCCCTCTCCCACTCCCCCTGCTTGTGTTCCCTCTCTCACTGTGTCTCTCTCTGTCAAATAAATAAATAAAATCTTAAAAAAAAAAAAGTGCAAAAAAAAAATAAATAAAAGCTTAACTGCTTTATCTCATTTACCTTATTATCTCAAGCTCTGCCTTGAATTCTTTTATCAACCCTAAGATTAGGCACAAATATGGAAACTAAAGTTCAGAGAGGTTAAACAGCTTAACCTAGACGAGTTTGCACTCTTTACATAGAGCGTATGCACGACCTATGAATACACTTTTCCCGATTTTAATTGTTAATTTAAAAACATAACATTACAGAATGGAGGTAAATGTGAAAATGGGATTAACAGTATCTCTAGCTGGGATAGCAAGAGGATTAATTGGGCGCTAAATATTGAGAGCTAGTCCTGAGAAGTAACAGAACAGCTGGATCTCACTGTGGGCCATCATTCTGTCATCCTTCCAGGAAGGATGCTCAGGGACGCTGGTGCCCAAGCCAGTAGGACGCCTCGGCCGGCCGAGAGGACCTAAGTGGGGGGAAATCTAGGAAATGGAAATGAAGGAATTAAAAGCACCAGAGACAAGCTTTGCCTGGATCACAGTTTACACGTGTAGTCTTCGCTGTCTTTTATGAGGCCATTGACGTCCGCCGTAATCTCGGATGAGGCTGTTCTACTTTCTTGCCGAGAATCTCCCAGGAAAGGGCGAAAGCCCACTCGCGACCCAGCTTCCTGGCCAGTCGTCCCCATGGCAACCGGGGAGGAGGCGTGATCTAAGGGTTGTCCCCGCCCCCTTCCTCCACAACTCGAACGACGACTGGCCCGGAGGCGCGGCGGGGGCGCAAGGAGGCGGACTTAGGTTCCCCAGCTCTCGCTGGGCCGCGCCGCCATTTTGAGTTGTGTGGGCTTCCAGGGCGTTCTGAGTGTGGCCTCGCCCGGGGAGGTTCCGTAGATCACGGGCCAGAGGCGCGCGTCCGAGTGTCAGGTTGGAGCCGGGAAGCGTCCCTGGGGGGAGCGGCGGCGGGGGCAGGATGAGCGCGGAGGCGGCGGACCGGGAGGCGGCCACCTCCAGCCGGCCCTGCACCCCGCCGCAGACCAGCTGGTTCGAGTTCCTGCTGGAGGAGTCGCTGTTGGAGAAACATCTGCGCAAGCCCTGCCCGGGTAAGCGCGGCGCCTGCACCCCGAGGGGACTGGGACCCGGCCGCCCGCGCCCGCGCCGTCCGCCTGGCTCTCGCCCGCACCTCCTCCGCCACGAAGCTGCGGGCCCGGGAGGCGCGAACCGGAGTCGAGCCCTGGCCCGGTCCCCTCGCCAAGCATTAAGCGTCCCAGAGCCGGGGCACCCCGTGCAGGGCTTAAAAACCAGACAAAGGCCCTCCCGTCCCCCCTCCCGTCCCCCTCCCGTCCCCCTCCCGTCCCCCTCCCGTCCCCCTCCCGTCCCCCTCCCGTCCCCCTCCCGTCCCCCTCCGCCTTGGTCCTTCTACTGTTTGAGGTTTTAGCATCTGCGAGGTGGTCTTGTGAGATTGCGTGGGTTGGGGAGCCTGGCTCGGACACACCCCTGTAGAACTCCGGCCCGCGATCAGGTTGGAGACGGAGAGAAATTGCGGTTCTGGCGCTGATCCTGACGCTAATTATTTTGTTTCTCAGCGAGGGGATTTTACCGACTATACGTATATACATACATATATGCACACATGTATCTGTATATTCCAAAGCTGGGCTGTAAATTAAAATGAGAACATCTCTAAGAGTAGGAAATGCTATACAGTTGTAACATGGGTGTTTAATGATCATGATTAATACCCCAGTTAATGAGTGCTGTTAGGGAAGGAGGAGAACTCCAGGCATTTCTGGGAAGAGGTACTGGCATGAAAACGTTAAGTTTCTTGAATAGTATTTTGCTCATAAAGTTCATAAAGATGTAGCTTGCTCAGTTTACATCAGCATTAACTATGGAGACAACTCTGCCAGAAGTTAGTGGTTTTCACTAAAACCGCCTGTATCCTATTATGTGTTTTTCATTCATTGCTTTTCATACACATTTATTTATTTATTTATTTATTTATTTATTTATTTATTTATTTATTTATTTATTTATTTATTTTCATACACATTTATTAAGTGCTTTCTAGGTGCCAGCCTTAATGCTTTTCATCTGTTATCTCATTTAATTTAGCCTTCATAATCTCAGGTAGGTGGTGGTATCTTCTATTTTGCATTGATGGAAACAGGTGCAGAGAGGTAACTTGAGGCAGGTCGCACTAATTAAGTGTTAAAACAGTTCTAAAGATGACATGTCTTTCCTCTAATTGACATTGGTTATTTGCTGATCTGGAAACCTAAAACCATTATGTTCTTACTTGGAAGGTGTTTTCTTCTGCACCAGTCTGATACCCTTTCTCCTTACCACCCTTCCTGATCTTCCCTGTAATCCCTAAGCATACTTCTTAGAAATCATAATCCTTAGTCATAACTACAGAGCTGTCGGGGTTCCCTTTTGTGGCCAAAAACCAGTACAGTGAAACCTTGTGCATCTTGATAATTAAAACTTAAATTTAAGAATTTATTTTCTTTTACATCCTAGATCCTGCACCAGTTCAACTTATTGTTCAGTTTTTGGAACAGGCTTCCAAACCTTCAGTTAATGAGCAAAACCAGGTGCAACCTCCGCCTGATAACAAGAGAAATCGTATTTTAAAACTACTTGCTCTTAAAGTTGCTGCACATTTGAAGTGGGATTTAGACATATTAGAGAAAAGGTACACAAGATATAAAAGAAATTATTTTTGAAGTACTATTTAGATATTTTGGATTATTTCTATATATGCTTATATGATAATCAGCCCTTAAAGTGCAAATTATTTTTCTCTATATTCTTGGTAAAATATGCAACTGTTTTTCAGAAGGTATAAAATATTTGAATGTTAGATGAATTTAAATCACCTTTTAAAGTATAGATCTATCCATAATGAGGTAGTTTATCATTATTATTTGATGTGGTAACTAGGGAAAATCCACACCTAAACAGTTTTAAATGTTTCAGTTTATTTTTACATATCTGAAGCAAATAAAAATTAATGATAGTTATTACATAATACAGATGATTTGCTGTTAAATCAGTTATTTTTTACTGGTCATAAATCAATCACTATCTCCCAAACTATTAAAATCTTACAGTCAGTGCTTATTTGTTAACAAATAAGTACTATCAAGGCTACGCTTAGAAAATGATTTTTCATCCCCCTTTTCTCACAATTTAAAGAGAAAATACCTTGTAAAATTCAGAAACTAGGAAATAAAAGGGGAGGGGAGACAAGTACTTCTAACATTTTTGTGTAACTTTTGTTGTTTTTCTCCCTATTTTAAGTAATCTCTACACCCAGTATAGGGCTCAAACTCACGACCCCGAGATCAAGAGTTGGATGCGCTACTGACTGAGCGAGCCAGGCACCCCCTCCGTGTGTGTGTGTGTGTGTGTGTGTGTGTATATATATATATACACACACACACATACATATGTGTATATATAGGTATATATAGGTATGTATATATATACACACACACATCTATTTATATTTTAAAGATTTATTTATTTTAGAGAATTAGTGGGTGGAGAGGGAGAGAATCTCAAGCAGACTGCCCGCTGAGCACTGAGCCACATCCCACAACCCTGAGATCATGACCTGAGCCGAAAACCAAGTCAGAGGCCCAACTGACTCTGCCACCCAGGCACCCCTTCTTTTTCTTTTTTCCCCCACATAACAATATCATGAACATTTCCCCATTTTGTATTTTTGGAGATAATTCCATCATGTGGAGAATTTATTAACTGTTTTCCCAATTATATTTAGTTTATTTCTACTTTTTCACTCTCATAAATCACAGAGCCTTAAATATCTTTGTCCTTAAATTTTATCTGAATTTTTGGTTATGTCCTTAGTACAGAGTATTAAATTGCTGACTCAGGTGGTATAAACATTTTTAAATCCCATGATGCATATTGCCAGATTGCATTCCAAGAGAGTTGTAGTAGTTTATGCTCTTATTGGTAGTGTTTAAACACTTTCTCACCAGCCTTCTGCAGCGGTAAGCATTAGAATTAAAGAATTCTTTAATCTGAGGGAGAGCCTATCCATTAATAGACTGGAGGCATATCAAGAGATAGTAATGTGTACAAAGAAAGTATGATGTATATGATACAGTTGGAAATTGAACACTGATGGGATATTTGATAAGCAACTGAAAACTTTTTAGATCTGAAATTAATACTGTGAATATGTTAATTTTGTAAAAAAATTTTTTAAAGATTTTATTTATTTATTTGACAGAGAGATAGGGAAGGGAGAGCAGGAACACAAGCAGGGGGAGTGGGAGAGGGGAGAAGCAGGCTTCCTGCCCAGCAGAGAGCCTGGTGCGGGACTCAAGCCCAGGACCCTGGGATCATGACCTGAACCGAAGGCAGATGCTTAACTGAGCCACCCAGGCGCCCCAGTTTTTTAAAGTTTTATTTAAGTAATCTCTACACGCAGGGTGGGGCTCAAACTCATGAACCCAAGACGAAGAGTCACATGCTCTTCCAACTAAGCCAGCCAAGCACCCCTGTTGAGTTAATTTTTTGGAGATCTGTTCTGAAACACATAAGGAAGAAATGATTTAATGTTAAAAATTTGCTTCACAATAGTATGGAAAGAAGGGAAGTAAGAATAGAGATGAGCATCAGTTGCTAGTTGTTGAAACTAGATGATGGGCACATACGGGTTCATTATATTCTGACTACTTTTGTGTATGTTTAAATTGTTTTCATAATGAGATTTAAAAAATATTTTGAAATTTAATATTTTCATATAAGTTGTTGAGACAGGTGAATAAAATGGCCCTGTGGATTTAGTCCTTTAGCAGTGTAATTATTTTCAGTGAAAATACTGAATTGTGTATTTTATGCTTCTTATGCAGACATGAACATTTTGCTTCTTTCTTTTAAGTTTGTCTGTTCCAGTATTGAATATGCTACTAAATGAATTGCTGTGTATCAGTAAGGTTCCTCCTGGGACGAAGCATGTGGACATGGATCTGGCCACTTTACCTCCAACCACTGCCATGGCTATCCTTCTCTACAACAGATGGTAAATTTTTTCATAGACCTAACGTGTGGGGCAGCCTCTGTTTAATTGCACTCTGGTTTTCAGGGGTATGCTTTTTTTTTTTTTTCCAGATTTTATTTATTTATGTGAGAGAGAGATTGAGAGCACAAGCTGCGTGGGGGGGAGAGGCAGAGGGAGAAGCAGACTCCCTGCTGAGCCAGAAGTCCAACTTGGGGCTCAACCCCAAGACCCTGGCCCCGATCATGACCCGAGGCGAAGGCAGAGGCTCAACTGACTGAGCCACCTAGGCGCCCCTCAGGGGTCTGCTTTTAAGGGTCCCCTATACCCTAGAGATCTTTCACAGGATCTTATAAACTGAGTCTGATGGTGGAGAAAATTTATGACTGCATAGATACGAGCATTCTGATAAAAATGTGCATGATTTATGAAGTTTTTATCTGAATTAAAACTTCAGATAATTTATAATATACGTTCTAAGGAGTACTTGAAAAAATAAGTGATATTTATAATGTATTAAATTTTCTTTTTCTTGTCTTTTCAGGGCAATTAGGACAATTGTTCAAAGTAGTTTTCCTGTCAAACAGGCAAAACCTGGACCTCCTCAGTTAAGTGTGTAAGTTGGCAGATATGACCCTTGGTTGGCACTTTCTTCATCAGAGTTTAAAAAAAAAATGTTCTTGCAAGTTTTTAAAAACCCCTGGTACAGAAGGTGTAGGGTAGAACCCAGAAGGAAGAAGGCCTGCATGCAGGTAGGTTTGGAGGAGTTGGAAGGGTGAGAGAATCAGGTAGGGCTCTGGACATCTAGAATAGAGAGAGCTCTGGAAAGCTAAGGGGGTGGTACTTTGTGAATTGTGCCTTTCATCTTTGGTAAGTGTTAGCTCACCTCCAAAGTAGTAAGATTTTTTTCATGTAATTAAATTTATGTGAAGGTGTATTTGTTTTGTATATAGGGAAATTGTTTTAATATGTAAAATTGATTTAGAGTCCAAAAGTTAATTACTGAATTTATCTGTATGTGGAGTTTTAAACCAAATTCTTAAATTCTAGGTAGCGGCTTACCCGATTTGGAGCTAGAGAGCATAGTTTCTAACTTGATATAAATGAGCTTTTGCTGCCAGTAAGTTTTAGTCTTAAATTGAGGGTTATTTTTTTAAACACAAATCAAATGGGAAAATAATGGTTAAATAAGCATCATAATTGAGTTTTTTTGCTTTGTTTTTTTTTTAAAGATTTATTTATTTTAGAGCGCGCAAGTGGGGGGGAGGAGCAGAGGTAGAGAATCTTCAAACAGACTCCCTGCTGAGCACTGAGCTTGACTTGGGGCCTGATCCTAGGATCCTGAGATCATGACCTGAGCAGAAATCAAGAGTTGGTTGCTTAATCAGCTGAGCTGCCCAGGCACCCCGAGTTTTTATTTATTTTTAAGCTTGAAAAGAAATGGCATTAAAAACATTTTTATTTAAATTCCACCTCAGTTTGAAGAATAATGCTCTGAAAAGCATCAAATGTTACTCAAAAGATGGAAAATTCTAAGCTTCAATCATTTCTCTTTTAGTATGAATCAGATGCAACAGGAGAAAGAGCTAACAGAAAATATTTTGAAAGTAGTGAGTATCGGCATCAGTTACACTTTCATATTTCTGGGGCGCATGGGGAGTATATTCACATGGTTCTTCTAACCTTAGGTATATGAGAGTTGGCAAGGTCTAGAAGCAATGACATTTAGGTTTTTACTGTTAGAACGAGTTTGGTAATAACTGTAAATTGTACAACTTTTCAGTGTTAATGGTGGTGCTTCACCATTAATTCTTTTGTTGAATTTTTGTGATACTTGAGCAGGTAAGAGAAATCACTCTTACAGGTGATGTTTTTATATTCTTTAATATTCTCCCAAAATTCTACAATAAACACATACTAATATTTTAAAATTATTTCTGTAGTCAGAAAAATATAGCAGTTATTTTTTTAATCTAGTTAATATAAAAGTAGAAATGTGGGATTTACCATAATTTAAAAATGATCTCTGTAATTCTTTAACCCTACAGTGTGCCAGAGATACTATGTAAAGTCCAGGAGCTGGGAGAGGAGAGGGAAGATAAGAAACATTCTGTGTCTGTATAAAATTAACATGCTGTAGTACTTTGAATGTGGAAGAAAAATCCTGCATCATTTTATTCTTGTTACTAGTGACTACTAAATGGCCGACACAATGGTGCATACAAACATTTCTTGAATAAATCAGTGGATGCAAATCTTTAAAGTATTTTTCTTCCAATTTTCTGTTTTAAAAAAATATCTTTTCCACTTTGTATTTTCTAATTTCACAATAGGAACTTTTACTGTATTTTTTAGAATTTAAGATAACGATCTCAACAGATCTAATTGCACTTTTGCTGTGGTAAAAAATGTTTTTTTTTTTTTTTTAAGATTTTATTTATTTATTTGAGAGAGAGAGAGAATGAGAGAGAGCAAGCACATGAGAGGGGGGAGGGTCAGAGGGAGAAGCAGACTCCCTGCCGAGCAGGGGGCCCGATGCGGGACTCGATCCCGGGACTCCAGGATCATGACCTGAGCCGAAGGCAGTCGCTTAACCAACTGAGCCACCTAGGCGCCCGTAAAAAATGTTTTTAATAGCTTAGTACCACAAGCTACTGAGCGTCCTGTGAATATATTTTGGTTAATTTTCTGTGGTTTCTGTATTTTAATAATTTTTTTATTGAATTTTTGTAGCTAAAAGAGCAAGCTTCTGATTCTATTTTGGTACTAGAGGCAGCCCTTAAATTAAACAAGGATCTTTATGTCCACACGATGCGAACACTAGATTTATTGGCAGTGGAGCCAGGCATGGTAAATGGAGAAACTGAGAGTTCTACCGCTGGACTGAAAATCAGAACCGAGGAGATGCAGTGCCAGGTATTTATATCTATTTAATCAGTGTGTGGCAAATTTTTGGAAAATCTTAAATGAGATCATTCTGGTATTTTTAATTTCTGCCTTTGTTTCTCTGATTTTGATTTAAGATGGTATTAAAACTTTGCATCATATTTATTTTTTAAAAGTTTATTTATTTGAGAGAGAGTGTGAGCACGTGCGCAAGTGGGGGAGGGTTAGGGGGAGGGGAGAGGCAGAGGGAAAAGCAAACTCCCCGCTGAGCAGGGAGCCCAATGCTGGGCTCCATCCCAGGACCTTGGGATCATGACCTGAGCCGAAGGCAGACACTTAGCCGACTGAGCCACTGAAGCACCCTTTTGCATCATATTTAATTTGTAGGTTTTTTAAGACTTCACTTAAATTTTTCTAAAAGAAATGGAAGGGAAATTTTGTTTGATTTATTGTCTCTGAAATCGTTTCCCAGTCGTGTTTAGGAAACAGTTTAAATATTGAGAATGCAGTGAGCATGTAACTGATTTTTACAATTCATTTGTATTATTAGATATTTAATTAGACCAAAAAAACCCCCCTGCAAAACAAATACTATGCTTTGAAAAATATAGGCTCCTAGAGAAAGTAACTAGTGTTTTAAGGCTCTTAAAGTTGTTTGCTTTCTAATCCCTTTGACGGCTTTTAGTTGATATTGTAAGAAATTATGTATTCATGTTGTCTTTCTCTGTTGGATTGTAAACTCTCTGAGGTGTCTCTTTTTTAATGTGTATTTCCCGTCTTCCTCACTTTTTAGCACAGAATCTTGAGTATAATAGAAATTTTAACACATTCAGAAACTGCCTAAAGAGAGCCACGAGGATAGTGCATTTTCTATTCCGTGTTCTTTTCTTTGCGTGAGTTGGCATGTCATCTTTTTTTTTTTTTTTTTAACAGTTTGGCAGTTTCTTTTTTAAAAATTAAAGTAAATTTTACCCCCAAAGTGGGGGTCGACCTCACAACCCTGAGATCAAGAGTCTCATGCCCTACCCACTGTGCCAGCCAGGCACCCTTGCATGATTTCTTTAATCATTGTTTTCCATTCTGAAATGGGCAGGAATAACCATGACAGAGTGTTGGGAGGTGCCTTTTCCGATTAGCTCGTTGCAGAATTGAAGGTAGTCAGTTTTTCAGTGCCTGATGAGATTGAGGTCACAGTTGGAATAGAAGTAGTGAGGATTGGCAACTGGTAACTTCTTTAAATTGTTAATGAAACTTGCATATACGAGAGCTCTGGTACTGTAGTATCTTATAATCACTGAGAGTCTGTTTGAAAAATATTGGTAATACTTCTGATTTTCACCATAGAATGGGTGATATAACATGAAAAACAAAACAACTCTTAACAAAACATCTCAGTGTGCTAGGTAAGCTATCATATATTCTCTTGATTACATAGCTGAGTCCTAATTCTGTGTCTTGAATGGCAAATTAGTAGCAATACTCACTTCCTGGCATGTTAATATTTATTTTTTTATTTTTTATTTTTTTTAAAGATTTTACTTATTTGACAGAGAGAGACACAGCAAGAGAGGGAACACAAGCAGGGGGAGTGGGAGAGGGAGAAGCACGCTTCCCGCTGAGCAGGCAGCCCGATGCGGGGCTTGATCCCAGGACTCTGGGACCATGGCCTTAGCCGAAGGCAGCCGCTTAACCGACTGAGCCTCCCAGGCACCCCTGGCATGTTAATATTTTTTTTTTTTTAAAGATTTTATTTATTTATTTGAGAGAATGAGAAAGAGGGAGCATGAGAGGGGGGAAGGTCAGAGGGAGAAACAGACTCCCCGCTGAGCAGGGAGCCTAATGCGGGACTCGATCCCAGGACTCCAGGATCATGACCTGAGCCGAAGGCAGTCGCTTAACCAACTGAGCCACCCAGGCGCCCTGGCATGTTAATATTTAAAGTGCATTCTTTGTATTACTAAAATTTACCTGACTCAAAAGGAAAATCTTTACATTCATTCCCCAGTAAATCTGAAAGTATTTACTGTCCTTCAGGGCAGCTTTATTAATCAGGCTTTTTTGTGTTTTTTTTGTTTTTTTTTTAAGATTTTATTTATTTGAGAGAGAGAATGAGAGAGAGAGCACATGAGAGGGGGGAGGGTCAGAGGGAGAAGCAGACTCCCTGCTGAGCAGGGAGACTGATGCGGGACTCGATCCAGGGACTCCAGGATCATGACCTGAGCCGAAGGCAGTCGCTTAACCAACTGAGCCACCCAGGCGCCCCAGGCTTTTTGTTTTTAACCTATTGACTACCTCTGAATTACAGAATTTAAACTTGTTTTATTTTTTTAATTGAGGGCTCAGACTCATGTCCCCGGGATCAGGAGTTGTATGCTGTACTGAGCCAGCCAGGTGCCTCTAGAATTTAAGCTTGTTTTTTTTTTTTGTTTTTTTTTTTTAAGATTTTATTTATTTGAGAGAGAGCACAAGCAAGGGGAGTGGCAGGCAGAGGGGGAGGGAGAAGCAGGCTCCCCGCTGAGCAGGGACCCTGACACAGGGCTTGATCCCAGGACCCTGGAATCATGACCAGAGCCGAAGGCAAGATGCTCAACCAACTAAGCCACCCAGGTGCCCCTAAACTTGTTTTAATGGGGGTGCCTGGCTGGCTCAGTTGGTGGAGCATGCGACTCCTGTGACTAAGTTGGAGCCCCACATTGTGTGTAGAGATTACTTAAAAATCTTAAAAAAAACCAAAAAACCCCAAACTTGTTTTGATGGCTAGTTAATATAGTAATACTTGAAAATACCATTTTGGTATCTTGTGCTCTGTCTTTGCCTGGAAAGGGGAATTACATGAAATTATAATATATGTGCATGTGTATATAAATATCTGTATATCCATTTCCTTTTTTTTTTTTTTTTAAACTTCTTTAGCACCCCTTTGCTCCAGGTGGGAGGAAGCACTCTAGGATGAAAATCAGCCAGACATTTAATGTGGACTAAATAATGGAAGGCAGTATCCTAGAGGCGGAGAATTCATCCTGCTTAGCTCAAGAAGACAGAATATATATATATATATGTATTGTATATATATTGCGTATCAGTAAAGAGTAGTTCTAATGAATATCACACTGTTACAGCTTAGGAGTTTGGAGGAGAAATAAGTACCCGTTGGCTAAGGTTGGTTTTGTGTAGATGGAAATAAAGGGTGTGGAATGAAGTTTATTTCTAGGATCTGATAGGAATGGGGAATTGAATAGGCTGGTGTGGTTGAAATGGAAGAGAATGAGAGATTTGGAGAGAGAAGTTAGTCCCGATTCTGAGACCCTTAAAAATCAGGCCAAGGGGGCGCCTGGGTGGCTCAGTCGTTAAGCGTCTGCCTTCTGCTCGGGTCATGATCCCGGGGTCCTGGGATCGAGCCCCGCATCGGGCTCCCTGCTCAGTGGGAGGCCTGCTTCTCCCTCTCCCACTCCCCTGCTTGTGTTCCCTCTCTCGCTGTGTCTCTCTCTGTCAAATAAATAAATAAAATCTTTAAAAAAAAAAAAAAAATCAGGCCAAGGAATTTGAACTTTCTCCTACTTGGGGGAATAACTTGAAGACTTTTTAAAGAAAGATCTGTTGGGGCACCAGTGTGGTTCAGTTGGTTGAGTGTCTGACTCATGGTTTCTGCTCGGGTCATGACCTCCAGGTTGTGGGGTTGATCCCCACATCACGCTCAGCGCAGAGTTTGCTTGAGATTCCCTCTCCCTCTTTCTCTCAAATCTTTAAAAAAAAAAAAAAAAATCTGTCAGCCATGTGTAGAATAAACTTGAGACAGGATATAAGGAGCTGTAGGGATCTGGCTTTGAGCCTGGGCTCTGCCAGTACTTGGTTATATGCTTTTAAGCAGACATTGTCACTTTCTGGGCCTTGTTCCTGTTCATAAAATGTTCAAGCTGAATTAAATAATATGAGTCTTTGAGTTCTGCATTTGGTGAATCTAGGCATCAGTTTAAGAAGGTTCTTGAAGAAATACACAAATTCCCTTAGTACTTTTTTAGTTGTCTTTTTCTATTCTTTTATAGTTCACATTTCTCGATATTTCACTCTGGCCAGTCATTTGCTCTCCCCCACTTTATTTTTTTTTATTTTTATTTTTTTTAAAGATTTTATTTATTTATTCATGAGAGACAGAGAGAGAGACAGAGGCAGAGGGAGAAGCAGGCTCCCCGCGGAGCAGGGAGCCTGATGCGGGACTCGATCCCAGGACCCTGGGATCATGACCTGAGCTGAAGGCAGACGCTTAACCGACTGAGCCACCCAGGCGTGCCCGCTCTCCCCCACTTTAAAAAGAAGTGGAGATTGGGGCGCCTGGGTGGAACAGTTGGTTAAGCGTCGGACTATGGTTTTGACTCAGGTCATTCTCTCCCTCTGCCCCTTCCCCCACTTGTGCACATGCTTGGTTCTCTCTCTCTCTCTGTCTCTAAAATAAAATTAAAAAAAAAAAAAATGAGATGGTAGAGAATCCATTACGATGGTGAGTGGCAGCAACGCTGACGGTAAGCTCTGGCTTCCAGGGGCAGCCCTAGCAAGAGTATAGCTCGCTGCTGTTCTCTGTGTAGAGCTGGTGGCCGCGGGTGATAAGAGCTTTGGAGTCTAGTGTTGAGATGGCTGCAGTGCTCCCTAGGTCAGTTTGGGCTCTCATCTTGGCTTCTTGCCTCCTTTGCCCCTTTGGTTTTCCAAGCCTGATTCTTTGGCCCAGAAATTCTAAAGGCCACCTGAAATCTTACCAGTTAAATCTGTTTTCTGCTTAAATCAGTCTGCTGGATTCTGTTGCTTGTGGCTAAGAACATTGTTTCATTGCTCACTGAAAGGTGTTTTTGTTTTTTTTTTTTTTCTTTAGATGTACCTGTTTTGCTGAGCTAAACATAATTTTGAGTTTTGTCAGCTCTTAAAAATGAAAAGTTACAGGGCGCCTGGGTGGCTCAGTCGTTAAGCGTCTGCCTTCGGCTCGGGTCATGGTCCCAGGATCCTGGGATCAAGCCCCGCGTCGGGCTCCCTGCTCCACGGGAAGCCTGCTTCTCCCTCTCCCACGCCCCCTGCTTATGTTCCTGCTCTCACTATCTCTCACTCACTCTCTCTCTCTGTCAAACAAATAAATAAAATCTTAAAAAAAGTTACTAAGCAGATTGGTATTCATCACCATTTTAGGTGTGTTATGATTTGGGTGCAGCATACTTCCAGCAAGGCTCTACAAATTCAGCTGTCTATGAAAATGCCAGAGAAAAGTTTTTTAGAACCAAAGAACTAATTGCAGAGGTAAGTACTGTGATAACAGGCACATAATATTCAGTCCTTAAAAAGTTACATATTTTTTGGCTTTACTTTTTCTGATGATGATAGAACAAGTGTTCGTTGTAGTACATTTGGTAAGTTTTAAAAAATACTGAAAACATTCTGAAAATCTGTAATACTACTGCTTAGAAATTACCCCTTTTGTAATTTTAACTTATTTTCTCCCTGTTTTCAATTCTTTGTTTTTATACAGATAAGCTTAGACTAACTATATTTACTATATTGTTACCATGCTTAAATCTTTGAATCGACGTTTAAATGTATTCTGCTGTATAGATGTACTGTGCTTTACTTCATTTCCCTAATATTTGGGCATTTATGTTTGCTGTTTTTATTTATTGTAAAGCTATGATATTTCTATCTCCCAAGCATAAGTTTTTTTTTTTTTTAAAGATTTTATTTACTTATTTGACAGAGAAATAGAGAATACAAGTAGGCAGAGAGGCAGGGAGAGGGAGAAACAGACTCTCCACTGAGCAGGGAGCCCGATGTGGGGCTCGATCCCAGGACCCTGGGATCATGACCTGAGCCGAAGGCAGCTGCTTAACCAACTGAGCCACCCAGGTGCCCCTCCAAGCATAAGTTTTTGTTTGGTTTTTAGATACTTTCAAGTTAAATTCCTACAAGTGGAATTATCATGTCAGTGGTTATTAATTTTGTAAAGGCTGTGAAACATAAAACCAAGTTGCTTTCCAGGTACATTTCTCTCAGGGTACTCTGATCTGCAGTGCAGTGTGTTTTTCTTTTTCCCCTCCAATTGCTAATTTGGTTGGGTGAAATAACAGTAACTTTAAAACATTTGCATTTCCTTAATTCTTAGTAAGGGTGAACTTTTTCATATGTTTATCACTTGCATTTTTATTTTTATGATTCCGGCAACTGGATTTTAAAGTATATAGGTTTTTATGTGCTTCGTGCCTAGAACAATTCCCATTTCAGTCTCTTCTCATCAGAGAAAGATGATAAATGTTCAAGAGATTTACTTTAAATCTATTCTAGACCTATTGGGAATTCCCATTTTACTTTGTCCAGGTGTCTCATCAGATTTGTTCTCCTCTTACGTATTTTTAAATACTTTTATTTAACAGTATTCGCTCTTTGTTAATGTCTTTTTTTTTTTTTTTTTTTTTTTTTAAGATTTTTTATTTTACAGAGAGAGCACAGGGAGAGGGAGAGAGAGGGAGAAGCAGACTCCCTGCGGAGCAGGGAGCCCGATGCGGGACTCGATCCCGGGACTCCAGGATCATGACCTGAGCCGAAGGCAGTCGCTTAACCGACTGAGCCACCCAGGCGTCCCTCTTTGTTAATGTCTTAATTGTCATTCCTACTTAGATTAATGATGATGTCTACCTTTTGTATGTTGGCCTGAAAACTCTAAACCAGGAGTCAGCAAACTTTTGTAAAAGGCCAAAGAGTAGATATTTTAGGTGTTGTGGGCTATATTCAGTTTAATATACTCATTTGTTGTGTTGTTTTGTTTTGTTTTGTTTTTTTCCTTTACAACCTTAAATGTGGTTCTTAGCTCAAGAGGTCTACAGAAATTGGCCACAGGCCAGATTTGGCCTGTGAACAATAGTTGGCTAACCCGTGCTCTAAACTTTTAACCTTTTTGGGGTTTTTTTTTGGTTCCTCCAGCCCTGAATTTTCCATTACGTTTTCTTGTACTGTTAAAATGCATTGCGTGGATACTAGACTGTTGTTTATGTCACATTGATGGATAATGATGTATACTTCTTACTTTACAGATAGGTTCATTATCTCTTCATTGTACCATAGATGAGAAGCGGTTAGCGGGCTATTGTCAAGCATGTGATGTTCTTGTCCCTTCTGATAGTACATCTCAACAATTGACTTCATATAGTCAAGTCCATATTTGTTTGAGATCTGACAACTATCAGGTAAGATGTATGATGGGGATGTAATAGTGTAGTTGAAAAGCTTTGGAAACCAGACAGAAGGGAGTTCAAATTCTGACATCACCATTTACCAGTTGTATGATTTGGGGCAAGTAAAACAGATTGGCCTTTAAAATGGTGGTAATAATTAACTGATTTCATAGGCTCCCTATGAGAACCAAGTGAGAAGTTATAGTTTATAAACTAAGTGCACTATACAGATGTTGACTCATTTTGATAATATCCTTTTTTGAAAGTATAGAATTTGCCCGTGTTAAGTAAATTCTTTAAGAAACTCTGTAAGCAGAACTTTTAATTTTTACAATTAAAGGTAGAGAATTGTTAGCTTTGTGGAGCCTTAAGTCTTGTGTCTGACTTAAAAGCATGGCCCTGTAGCCCAGCCTTGTTAGTCACTACAGATACGAAGACTGAAGAAGAAGTGAGCAGAGTGGTGGTGGTAGGTTTGGGTGGTCTGTTACAGAGCTTGCTTTACCAGCGAGTCTGGTCGTTACCTCAGTTTTACCCATGCAAAGGGCTTAAATTAGTCTCGAGATTTTTAGTGCCTACTTTGGGTATATATTTTTAGTTTTATAATGAAAATCACTGGGAATTAGCATTTGTACTTTTAAAATCTTTATCGGAAAGCCTTCATTCTAGAAAATGAATAGAGCCTTCATGTTAACTCAAAGTAAGAGTCATGAAATAACAAAGCTACAGCATATCTTTAGTTTTGTCTCTACAAATGGACTTTTAGCCGAGCTTTTTATTTTATTTATTTTTATTTTTAATTTTTTTTAAAAGATTTTATTTATTTGAGAGAGAGAATGAGAGAGCACGAATAGGGGAGAGAGGGAGAAGCAGGCTCCCCGCTGAGCAGGGAGCCCCATACGGGACGAGATCCCAGGACCCTGGGATCATGACCTGAGCTGAAGGCAGACACTTAACCCACTGAGCCACCCAGGCGCCCTTTAGCCAAGCTTTTATTTAATTTTAAATAGAATTTTTTTTTTAAGATTTTATTTATTTGAGAGCGAGAGAAGGAGAGACAGAGAGTACAAGCGGGGAGGGGAGGGAGAAGCAGATTCCCCACAGAGCAAGGAACCCGATGCGGGGCTTAATCCCAGGACCCTGCGATCATGACCTGAGCCGAAGGCAGACGCTTAACCGACGGAGCCACCCAGGTGCCCCAAATAGAATCCCCCCCACCCACACAGAAAATAGGAGAAGAGAAGGGATATTACTTCCTCCCCCACTTCTGCCCCCTTTTCAAATTCTGCTTTGCCTTAGGGAAGAAAACAAAACTTTCTTAAAGACAGATTAGATACAGATGAATTTATTTAATATCTTTTAGTTCTGTATCCCTAGTACAGACTTATGGAGGGTGGAGATCACTTATGGTAAGATAAAGAATCTTTTAAGAAGCTCTTTGGAGTGGTAAACCTATGTAAACAAGACCTTAGAAATATTACTCATGGATGGGCATATGTTAACTGAATATAAGGAAGAGCCAACATTTGTAAATCAGAAGGTATTGTAATGAGTAGCTAGGAAGAGGAAAATCGCAATTTTATTACAACACTGAGATTTATCACTTCAGTTATATATACAGGAGTATGTAGAAATCCTATTCAGCCTGTTTTTACAAATACGGTTCTCTTTATATAAAGTGTACAGTTTTTGTGCTGATCAGGTAGTTATTTGATGGCGCCTGGGTGGCTCAGTCAGGTAAGCATCCAATGCTTGATTTTTGGCTCAGGTCATGATCTTGGCTTGTGAGATCTGAGCTGCGTTCCAGCTCCGCACTGGGCGTGAGCATACTTGAGATTCTCTCTCCCTCTGCCCCCAATGAATGAATGAATGAATGAACAGCTGTAACAAATGTGTCTTCTCGCATGGGGGAAGAGGCTGTCTTTCTAGGTGTAGGCCCACCCTGTTCATGTTTTGCTATGGAGGTGAAACAGTGTTGCTCCGTGGTTGTGAAACCACTTTTGTCAGTACTTTTGTGGTGGCAGCAGATTAGTTTCAGATGTTTCGGCATTCCTCTTCCCTTTCTCCTTACGTTATCACTCCTTTTTCCTCCTCTTACATTGCTTGATAAAGAGCCAAGACAAAGTCTGTATGGAATGGTACAGGTTTTTTTGTAATTCACTAGCTTCTATATTTTAAACCATTTAAATTTATTATAATTGTTCCTTTGCATGCTTTTTCCAGTTGAGTTATTTTAACTGTTGTAGTATTTTTATTTTTATTTATTTATTTATTTTTAAAGATTTTTATTTATTTATTTGACAGAGAGAGACACAGTGAGAGAGGGAGCACAAGCAGGGGGAGAGGGAGAGGGAGAAGCAGACTCCCCGACGAGCAGGGAGCCTGATGTGGGGCTCGATCCCAGGACCCTGGGATTATGACCTGAGCCGAAGGCAGACGCTTAACGACTGAGCCACCCGGGCGCCCCTGTTTTAGTATTTTTAAAAGCTTGTTGTATGAAGCTGTTTAAAGTGGATGAGAAGCATTTTTACAACTTTTTTTTACGATTTTTAAAAATTTATTTGAGAAAGTGAGTGAGCACAGAGGGGGAAGCAGAATCCCCACCGAGCAGGGCTCGATCGCAGGACCCCGAGATCATGACCTGAGCCACCCAGGCACCCCACGTTTTTACAACTTCTAATAATATATCTGAATTGCTTCTTATTGATTGATTTCTTCCTTCACCTCTCATTTTGGTCCATGATCTTCAGTTTGAAAAGGCAGGGTTGGAGGGTGGGTGGCTATTTTTATCCTCAATCTAATTTTAAAGTTTTAGAAAAGATTTTCCTAGTAAGATATTTTCATGATTTTCTTCAATATATATTTTACATTATAGAAAGACTTTTTTTTTTCTTTTTGGAAAGACTTTTAAAGTAAAGAAACTTTGCCATGATTTTTGAACTGGATGCAATTTTATGTCTGTGTTCTAGGATGTAGTAAAGATTTTCATTGAAGATAACTTAACCTTCAGTTTACCTGTCCAGTTCCGGCAGTCAGTACTAAGGGAACTCTTCCAGAAAGCTCAACAGGGGTAAGTAAGTAAATTGAAGAACTACTTTCTTATTTTTGGATAAAAGAGCAAGTGCAATTTAGGTTTATCAAAAATATACCTCCAAATTACTTCTAAGTCTGTGACAATTTCACCTCTATTAGTAAATGGGAAATTAACACAGCCAGAGAAGCCACTTTAATGTTCATCTAATCCATTTTAAAAGCACTTGGGAAAAATTAGCAGAATTTGGTTGTTACCTAAGCTGTAACTAAATCATCCGTGACAGATGTGAAACTTTTCTGTTCTGCTCTATCCCCACCCTTGACATGTGCTTGAATAACTTAAAATCTTACCTCTCAAGGATAAATAACTCATTCTTGTGAATTTGGTTTTGTAATATATACCTTTTTTTTTTATTAAAAAGAATGTATTAGTGGGTCTACTTTTGTATTCTACAGAAATGAAGCTCTAGATGAAATCTGTTTTAAAGTCTGTGCCTGTAACACAGTCCGTGATATATTGGAAGGTAGAGCGATTAGTGTTCAATTTAACCAGCTATTTCTTAGACCTAATAAAGAGAAAATAGACTTTCTTCTTGAGGTAAGACATTTTTTCCCTTTTTGATTTATAATTTTGCTGTAAACTTACCAGTGACCTCTTAGTTGCCAAATCCAGTGCCCTCTTTTCTCTCTTCATCTGACTTGCCAGTGTTGGATACGCCTGACCTCTCTCCGACCTTTTCTTCTCTTAGAGCTCTTTGCTGTTTCTCCATTACTGGTTTTTCTTGGTCTTTCAATCGACATCTCTTTTTTCTCTCCCTTTAGTGTTTCTGTTTACAGTAGTTTTGTTTTTGGCTCAGTAATCTTCCCATATCATTTTTTAATTCTTATTTAAAGCTTCAGTCACCTGTTGACTAAACATTGCCAAGTCCTAACTCTAACCTCTTCTGTGAGCTCCAGAATCTGTGTTTGTGTTGGATCTTTCTACCTCTTTAACTGTCTTAATGTAACAGACATTGAGAAAAATACATAAAGCACAATTAATACCACTTAGTTCCAAAAATACAACATTGCCAACACTCTAGAAGTCCTTTTTATGCCCTTTACCAAACCCTCTCCATCTCCCCTTGAGGAAACACTGTCCTGCCTTTTGTGATAATCTTTAAAGAATATTCTTTAATTTGCCTGTTTTGAACTTTATAGAAATGAAATCATACAAAATGTATTTTTTATTTTCCTTCACTAAACATGTTTATTGGATTTTTTCCAAGTTGTATGCATTTATAGTTGATTTTTCATTGCTGTAAGATGTTAACCCCTTAATGGATATATGAGTTGCAGCTTTTCTACCTTTTCATTTTGTTGATGGCTTTCTTTGCTATGCAGAAGCAGATGTAGTCACATTTGTCTGTTTTTTGTTTTGCTTTTGTTGCCCTTGCCTTTGGAGTCAGCTCCAAAAAAAAAAAACCATCATTAAGACTGAGGTCAAGGAGCTTATTACCTATGTTTTCCTCTAGTTTTATGGTTTCAGGTCTTATATTCAAGTTTTTGGCCATTTTTAGTTAATTTTTGTAAATGGTATACAGTAGTGGTCCAATTTCATTCTTTTGCATGTTGCTGTCCAGTTTTCCCAACCCCATTTGTTGAAGAGATTGTCTTTTTCCCCATTGGATATTCTTTTCTGCTTTGTCAAAGATTAATTGACCATATAATTGTGGGTTAATGTCTAGGCTTTCTGTTCTGTTCCATTAATATGTGTCTGTGTTTGTACCAGTACCATACTGTTTTGATTACTATAGCTTGTAATAGAAGTTGAAATCTGGAATTGTGATGCCTCCAGCTTTTCTTTTTTGAGACTGCTTTGGCTATTCAGGGTTTTTTGTGGTTCCATACAGATTTTAGGATTGATTGTTCTAGTTGTGTGAAAAATGCTGTTGGTATTTTGATAGGAATTACATTAAATGTGTGGATTGCTTTGGGTAGTGTAGACATTTTATTTATTTTATTTTTTTAAAGATTTTATTTATTTGACAGTGAGAGAGCACGAGCAGGGGGAACAGCAGAGGGAGAGGGAGAAGGAGGCTCCCTGCTGAGCAGAGTGCCTGAGACACGGAGCTGCATCCCTGGACCCTGGGATCATGACCTGAGCCAAAGGCAGACGCTTAACCAGCTGAGCCACCCAGGCGCCCCGTATTTTTAAATTTTTAAAAAACTTTAATTCCAGTTAACATACAGTGTTATATTCGTTTCAAGTATACTACTGTATAGTGATTCAACAATTCCATGTATTATTCAGTGCTCATCAAGATAAATGTAGTCTTGGGACGCCTGGGTGGCTCAGTTGGTCAAGCAACTGCCTTCGGCTCCGGTCATGATCCTGGAGTCCCGGGATCGAGTGCCGCATCGAGTGCAGGGAGCAGGCTCCCTCCTCCTCCCTCTGACCCTCATGCTCTCTATCTCATTCTCTCTCTCAAATAAATAAATAAAATCTTAAAAAAAAAAAAAAAAAGATAAATGTACTCTTAATCTCCTTCACCGTTTTCATCCATCCCCCACCCCCCTCCCCTCTGGCAGTCCTCTAGATATTCTCTGTAGGTAAGAGTCTGTTTTGATTTTTCTCTCTTTTTTTCTTTTGTTCATCTGTTTTAAGTTCCACATATGAGTGAAATCATATGGTATTTATCTTTCTCTGACTTATTTCATTTAGCAGTATACTCTCATTCCATCCATGTTGTTGCAAATGGCAAGATTTCATTCTTTTTTATGGCTGAGCAGTATTCTATCGTATATATGCCACATCTTATTTATCCATTTATCTGTCGGTGGACATTTGGGCTGCTTCCATAGTTTGGCTATTGTAAACAATGCTGAAGTAAACATGGGGGTGCATATATCCTTTCGAATTAGTGTTTTTGTATTCTCTGGGTAAATACCCAGTAGTGCAGTTACTGGATTAAATGGTAGTTCTGTTTTTAAGTTTTTGAGGAATCTCCACCCTGTCTTCTGTGGTGGCTGCAAAAACCTTAATTTTTAAGAGTTAAACTACCTTGGCTTGTTTGTAGTAAACTCAGCCAGGTCATGGCTTTTTTTTTTTAATTGAGATGTAATTGACATATAACATATTAGTTTTAGGTATATGTTATCTTTTTAAAATACATATTGCAGGATTTAGTTTGTAATATTTTAAGGTCTTTTACATTCGTGTATGAGATTGATACATCTATTTTTTTTTTTCATGTCCTACCTTTGATTTTGGTACCAAGGTCATTCTTACCTCATAAATAAATTGGGGTATCTTTTTTCCTTGCCTGGAAAAGTTCCCATAAAAATGAACTCATTGCTTCTTTAAGTGTTTGGTAAAATTTACCAATGAAATATTTGGGCCTGGAGGTTTTTTTGTGTAAGGGAAGATTCTGGCATTGCTTCAGTTTCATCAGTGGGTATAGAGGTAGTCTATTTTTCCTGATTATTTTTAAGAGTTTTTTTTTTTTTTTTTAAGATTTTATTTATTTATTGGACAGAGAGAGGGACAGTGAGAGAGGGAACACATGCAGGGGGAGTGGGAGAGGGAGAAGCAGGTTTTCCGCAGAGTGGGGAGCCTGATGCGGGGCTCGATCTCAGGATCCTGGGATCATGACCTGAGCCAAAGACAGACGCTTAATGACTGAGCCACCCAGGCGCCCCTTAAGAGGTTATTTTCTAAGAATTTATCCACTTCATCTAAATTTTTTTTTTAAGTAGGCTCCATGCCCTGTGTTGAGCCCGATGCAGGGCTTGAACTCACAACCCTGAGATCAAGGGTCAGATGCTTAACCAACTGAGCCACCCAGATGACCCCCCTTCACCTACATTTTTAAGTTTATTAAGTTTTTAAAATGTTTGTAACATTGGGGCGCCTCAGTGGCTCAGTTGGTTAAACGTCTGGGGAGTCTGCTTCTCCCACTACCCCTGTCCTCAACATGCACCCCACCCCTCCACTTGGGCTCTCTGTCAAATAAAATCTTTAAAAAAGAAAATGTTTACAGCAGTTATAGAGATGCCCCCTATTTCATGTTTTAATTGTTTTAAGAATTGAGCTTAATTAACACATTTGTTATATTGCTTATCAGAAGTTAACACCTATTCCCTAAGTTTCATGACACATGTACAGAGTATCACTGTGTATGAATAAGCTATCATGAAATTATATTCAGGTATTACTTCTTATAAGATCATTAGTATTTATAGTGTGGAGCAAAATTATTATGATGCAAGCATTTTGCACATCAAGATGTTCAAGTGTGCTATATGCTGATAATCTATTCATCTGAGCATAGAACTTTTACAGTACTGTTTCTGAGCATGGTACTTGAAAAATTACCTTTTTTTTTTTTTTTTTTTTTTTTTTTAGAGAGGGAGGGAGAGAGGTGGCAGAGAATCATAAGCAGGCTCCACACCCAGCGTGGAGCCTGATGTGGGGCTCAGTCTACAATCCTGAGATCATGACCTGAACCTAAATCAAGTGTTGGATGCTTAACTGACTGTGCCACCCAGGTGCTCCTTTTTTCCCTCCCTTTTAATAACAGCTTTATTGAGGTATATCACATATCGTACTATTCACCCATTTAAAGCGTACAATCCAGTGTTTTTTTTTTAAAGTATGTTCATAGATTTGTACAACTGCTACCTCAGTCAGTGTTAGAATTTTTCATCCTCCCTCTTCTACCCCACAGCAAAACTTCTTATCCATTAGTAGTCATCCCTCATTTTCCCTCAGTCCTTTTAACCGCAGGTAACTACTAATCTAATTTTGTCTCTGGATTTGCCTATTCTGGGCATTTATATAAAGGAATTTGGTTCCCCCCCCCCTTTTTTAAGTTTTTATTACTCATCTTAGAATACAAGTGTGAGCGGGGGAGGGGCAGAGGGAGACACAAAATCCCAAGCAGACTCCACGCCAAGTGTGAAGCCCAACACAAGGCACTATCCCAGGACCCCGAGATCATGACCTGAGTCAAAACCAAGAGTCATACACCCAACCAACTGAGCCAACCAGGCACCCCTTTGTGGTCCTTTTTTTTTTTTTTTTTTCCTTTTAAATTGACTTTAGTAAATGTTTTCAGAGTTCATCCATATTGTAGCATGTATCAGTGCTCCATTATTTTTTGTGGCTAAATAATACTTCATTGAATGGATACATTATTCATTGTTCATTTTGTATGTCTATCAGTTGATGGACTTTAGGGTTATTTCAGTTCATGGCTATTATGAGTAGTGCTGCTATGAACATTATATATTTTTTGTTAACATATTAGGGAATATTTGACAATTTCCAGAGGTTAGGGACTTTTATACTGATGGCTTTATTTTGGTTTCTTGTAAGTAATATATGGGAGAAGTCTTAATCTGATGAATAAACTCAGAATATTATGAGACTGTTATTTGTAGATAACTAACATTTCCACAGCTAGTTTTTGTTCTTTAATTTTGGTTTATTTTTAAAACCTTGGTTACATTCTTAATCGTTGGTTCTATATACTTTAGCTGTTACTGATCAATTCAGCTATCTCAGATGAATCTTCTTTCACTTTTCTGACTGGAGCTACTGTAGAGTTTATCACCTCATAGAATTGGTTAACGTACTTTATACATTCTGGGAAACTCTATACCATGCTAGGTAGGTTATTCTTTATTTCATGTAAATACCTGCAGTTGTTGAAATGATCACATTCCAATCCCTCTCCCCATAATGATTCTTATTCATAGTCTCCTCTTTTAAATTACTTAGACAAATCTGTGATTGATATGTGCCTGAAGGAGAATTTGGTTGTTTTTAAATGTAAACTTTTCAAACTGTAGGGTATGTTTTTTAAAGTGCCAATATTCAAATAAAAATTACTCAAATTCCTAGGTATGTTCAAGATCAATAAATTTAGAAAAAGCTTCAGATTCTTTGAAGGGAAACATGGCTGCTTTTCTAAAGTAAGTGCCTTTTTTTCCCCCTTAACTTTCAAGTTAGTCCTGTGAGAAAAATAACTTTCATTACTTTTTGTATTTATCCTGCATGTCTTATAACCAGGCAGTCATTTGAGAGCCGTTTACGTTCAGATTTGTGTAGTGACACAAAATTCAGGATTGGTATTACTCTTTTTGTATATTTTGATATTGACTTCACAATTTTAAATAAGGACCAAAAAATTTTTTAAATCTATTTCAAATATTATTATATAGTTTATGAAGTGGTAGTTTGTTAAATGGTTTATTAATAAAGATTGGTTAACATGATTGTTTTTCCCAAACTAAATTATAAACTTTTTTTGTTTTACAATATTTTTACTGATCTAGGAATGTGTGTCTGGGGTTGGAAGATCTGCAGTATGTTTTCATGATTTCTTCACATGAGCTTTTCATTACATTGTTGAAAGATGAAGAACGAAAGCTACTTGTTGATCAGATGAGGAAGAGATCCCCTAGAGTAAATCTGTGCATTAAACCTGTAACTTCATTTTATGATATCCCAGGTTAGCTCTCTAGTCTGCTAGCGAAAATGTTAGCACATTTTGCCCTTCTATTATATTGCCCCTCAGTGTATTTGAGGATGTCCTCTCACTTGTTTTAATTTATACTTATGTCAGTAATTAATTAGAAATTTACCAGTCTTTTGTAGTCCTATTTCTGTCTAAGCATTAAGTTCCGAACTCTGCTGAGTCTGTGTTTAATGGAGATTGAGGCCTAGTTACATACAAGATTCTAGCTGGGGAAATAGACAAAGGTGATGCTGTCTTGGAGGTAAAAATGAGAGCTGGGAGGGGAGTGGTAAAGTGTCCTGAGACTCATAAAAAAATACAGGCTCTCGTGCATTTCAGCCTACAGTGCTATGTGACACTGTCTGCTGGCTAAGCATTCCTCTTTGGCGACATGGCTATTTTTGCCTTATTTATTTGATGATTTTTTTCTGTTTTTGCTTTTATTTTGTGAATATAAGTAGAAGATGTAGTGGTTTTCATTAATAAGAAACATAAGCTTTAGAGCTTAATATAGGTGAGACAGAATCATTTGGTTTAACAAAACAAAATTGTAGCTGCTTTGAACCTCACTAGGAAAAATGCCATTAAGACCTAAATTGTTGGGAATGGATTAATGAAGACTATCTGAAAGTCTAGTTGTAATTAGAGATTTTAATGATCTTGGTTTTCTGGGAAGGCAGTGCCTCCACCTTCTCTTCCTCTGCCTTTAAAAAAAAAAACCCACATTTTTAGTATTTATTAAAACAAAAATATATTTACACATGCCTTTATTAACACATTGTTTGAAAGTAGGAGACTGTCTACATAAATTTTTTCCATATATTCCACCTAGTTCTTTCTGTGAACCAGTTACTGATTTTTATCTTTGTTTGTATTTTCATTGTATTTATTTATTAAATGCAGACTTAATACAAACTGTTAGGTTTTCTGTAGGCAGATAAAATTAATATGTAATTTATGTTGAATGAGTTCTGAAGATGAGAGCTGTTTCTCACAGATATAATACTTAACATACATATACAATTTCTCTCAACAAATTATCATTCTCATATTTGTAGGATTAAGGATTTCTTTGAATTAAGTCATTATTGAAATGGAAATCTCTTCTTTCTTAGCTTCAGCAAGTGTCAACATTGGTCAGTTGGAGCATCAGCTGATATTGTCAGTGGATCCCTGGAGGATTCGACAGATTTTAATTGAATTACATGGTATGACTTCAGAGCGCCAGTTCTGGACTGTGTCTAACAAGGTTAGAAACCCTTTGTCAAGGACAGATAAGAAAATTACACTTATTTTCTGATATAATTTATTTATTTTAAAAAAGATTTTGTTTGAGGGAGCACGCACACACAAGTGGGGGAGAGGCTCCGTAACCTCTTAAGAATAAGTTTATGTCCTATTTATTGTCATAGCATCTCCATATACTTTAAATAAAGCTGTAAGTATATGTATAAGGAATATTCTTTATGCAGTCTGTAGCTGCTCTTTGCTATGTGCTTATAGAGTATTTTTGTTTTTATCAATACCCTCTTGAAGTCTAAAGCCTGAAGGTTGGAACTGATTTGTTAAAACTTTTTAGGACATTTTTGGCTTTATATGTTCATTTAAAAATACCCAGCTAATGGATTTACCTGCTTCTAAGGTTATCTATTCAAAAGCTTTCCTGCATGCAAAGTGCACATGAAAATAACTTTTAGAACATTTCAGTGGAATGTAGCTGAAGATACAAGAGAGATAGCACATAGATACGGGAGAAATTACAGTTGTATGGCAGTACGCCTAATTCAGTGCATACTTCTCTGCTGAAAATGTAGTAAAAAGGCAGCCAGAACTTTATGTATAGTTTATGGGATTTGAACATGTAAGTGCAGTGGAATGAAAAATTTCTCTGAACATTAGTGTTGGGCTTCATTAATGTTGATGTTATTATTAGTGCTCATTTTTATAGATGAAGAAGTATAGCATAGTAAAGAGAGGGAGTTCTGACTGCCTGAGTTTGAATCCCAGCCTCTATACTTACTAGTTATGTAATCAGTCTTGGGCAAGTTATTTGACATTTGTGTGTTCGCTTTTCTTACCTGTAAAATGAGGATGATGGTACCTACTTCATTGTATTTTGTTGAGGATCACATAAATTAATACATATACTCCTCGGGCTTTTTTCCCTTTTTTTCTATAGATTATTCTTTAGAAAGTTCCAATCCATTTAATTTATTACTGGCTTATAGTGAATATGTTCATTTTTATTAGCATTTCATTATGGCTGTCATTTTCCTTTCTCTACGAAAGCGACCTTTCCAGGACTTCTTTAAATGTGATTGAAGATTATTGAAAGATTCTTCCCTAGATTTGGCTTTCTGTATATGTGTGTGTGTGTTTATATATTTTTTATTTCTTCTAGTGGGAAGTACCTTCTGTGTATAGTGGGGTTATCCTGGGAATTAAAGACAGTTTAACAAGAGATTTGGTTTACATTCTTATGGCCAAAGGTTTACACTGCAGTACTGTTAAGGTGAGTAAAAGTGTACATCAACTACTGGTTAAGAACATGATTTATATTCAGGGTCTGACCTAAAAAAACAAAGAAACAAAAATGCTTTATTAATTTTATCATAAAACCCAGGAATCAGAATTTCCCATATTTTCTTTTTTTTTGATAATTCACATTATTATTTTTTTTTTTAATTTATTTATTTGAGAGAGAGAATGAGATAGAGAGAGCATGAGAGGGGGGAGGGTCAGAGAGAGGCAGACTCCCTGCTGAGCAGGGAGCCCGACGTGGGACTCGATCCTGGGACTCCAGGATCATGACCTGAGCCGAAGGCAGTCGCTTAACCAACTGAGCCACCCAGGCGCCCCCCATATTTTCTTGATCTTAAAATATAGTTCTAGGCCTAAAAAGTTTTTTTTTCCCCCTAAAAGTATATTTTAAAAGGTGTTCTAGTTCTTTTTCCTTCACCCTCATAACTGTACCAAAGTGGTCTTGGATATATGGATACAGCTCCATTCCTTTAAAAAAAAAAAAATAGAGACCATGAAAAATTATTGTGTCTTTTAGGATTCAGTTAGTAAAATTGTGTTCCAAATCCCTTAAAAATACTTTTTTTTTTTTTTTAAAGATTTTATTTATTTATTTGAGAGAGAGATAGAGAGAGAGAGAACAAGTAGGCAGAGAGGCACGCAGAGGGAGAGGGAGAAGCAGGCTTCCTGCAGAGCAGGGAGCCCGATGCAGGGCTCGATCCCAGGACCCCAGGATCATGACCTGAGCCGAAGGCAGCCGCTTAACCAACTGAGACACCCAGGCGCCCCCCCCCCCTTAAAAATACTTTTGTAGTTTGTTTTACATAAGGAGTTTGTAATCTGTTTGGGAAGTCAAGACATAAGTGCAATGTTAAATGATTAATAGATGGTATAATTGCACAAGTATTAGTACAGAAAATTCTAGAGGCAGGTTAAAGATGGCATTTCCAAATTTAGTTCAGGCAGAAATCCTGAGCTAAACCTCGAGACTTGAGTAAGTTAGCGAGGTATAAAAGATGGCATCATTTGGAAAAGCTCAGAGATAAGAAATAGGATGGTGTACATGGGGCCTGGAAGCAGTAAGCTGATGTTAGAGTGCCACTTGGTATGTGAGCGGAGGCCGTGATGAGGCAGGAGGGGGAAGTTGGATGCAGCCTGTACAGAGGCTCTGTGAGCTTTGTTAAGGTGGTCGGGTTTTCTAGACCAGCAGTTTTCTAGCTAGAAGTCCAACATGTAGACCTTATAATTTTAAGGGAAGCAGTTCCTAGCTTTTCTTCTTTTACCTAAAATCGATCTGCCTGAAAATACTGTTAGAGTTCACGTGTCTTATTTCTCTGTTCACATTCCTTTCTCTTTTCACAATTGTGCTTTTCCAGCTTACTTTAAAAAGGTGGGGGAGGAGCCCCACTTGAGTTTTATGGTAACTTTTGAAACCAAGTGCTGTCAAATCCTCCAGTTTTATTGTACTTAAAATGATTTTGGCTATCCTAGGTCCTTTGCTTTTTAAATTTTATTTATTATTTTTTAAAAAGATTAAACTGTACGCCCAATGTGGGGCTTGAATTTTCTACTCTAAGATCAAGAGTTGCATCCTGTATTGACTGGGCCAGCCAGGTGCTACCTCCCTCTCCTTTGCTTTTTATTTATTTACTTATTTTTAAGATTATTAAGTAATCTCTATACCCAGTGTGGGGCTCACACGACCCTGAGATCAAGAGTCACATGCTCTACTGACTGAGCTAGCCAGGCGCTTCTCCCCTTTGCTTTGCTATTTATTTAGTTTTTTTTTTTTTTAAAGATTTTATTTATTTATTTGAGACAGAGAGAATGAGAGAGACAGAGAGCACATGAGAGGGGGGAGGGTCAGAGGGAGAAGCAGGCTCCCTGCCGAGCAGGAAGCCGGATGCGGGACTCAACCCCGGGACTCCAGGATCATGTCCTGAGCCGAAGGCAGTCGCTTAACCAACTGAGCCACCCAGGCGCCCTATTTAGTATTTTTAAAAGATTTTATTTATTTGACAGAGAGGTAGTGAGAGCAGGATCACAAGCAGCGGGGAGTGGGAGAGGGAGAGGCAGGCTTCCCGCTGAGCAGGGAGCTCAATGTGGGGCTCGAGCCCAGGACCCTGGATCATGACCTGAGCTGAAGGCCGAGCCAGCAGGCACCCCTCCCCTTTGCTTTTTAATATAAATTTTAGAATCAGCTTTTCAGTGTTTACTTAAAAAAAAAGGGGTGGGGGGAAGAAAGAAAATCTTGCTGAGATTTTGATTCAGATTGCAATGAATCTATAAATCAATTTGGGGACAGTTGGAATTGATGGTAATATTATGTCTTTTAATCCATGAACTTAGTGTATGTCTTCATTTACTTAGGTCTCCATTTATGTATGTCTTTATCTCAACAAGTTCTGTAGTTCTCAGCATAAACATCTTGCATGTATTTTGTTAGATTTATTTCTAAATGCATGTATGTTTTAAAACAAAAAATAGGGTAATTCATTATTCAAAAAGTTCATATTTACACTTTACTTTAGCATCTCCTTAAACTCTTCCCCCCCCCCAAAAATTTCTAAGCTTAAATACTTTCTGATATAAATTTTTATGTAAAACTGTTTTTAGTGAGCAAAGAACCTTCTGTAGATAATGCTGTAAACCAGAGGTCCTCAGAGTGGGATTGCGACTCCAGCAGCATTGGCCACATTTGGGAACTTGTTAGAAATGCAAAATGTTGGGGCGCCTGGGTGGCTCAGTCGTTAAGCGTCTGCCTTCGGCTCACGTCATGGTCCCAGGGTCCTGGGATTGAGCCCCGCATCGGGCTCCCCGCTCCGCGAGAAGCCTGCTTCTCCCTCTCCCACTCCCCCTGCTTGTGTTCCCTCTCTCGCTGTATCTCTCTCTGTCAAATAAATAAAATCTTTAAAAAAAAAAAAAAAAAAAAGAAATGCAAAATGTTGGGTCCCAGCCTAGACCTACGGAGTCAGAAACTGGGGAATCAGAAACAGCCCCAGCAGTCTGTTTTAATAAGCTCGCTAGGTAATTGTGATGCATGCTCAACACTTCCAATGGAAATAACATACAAACCACATATGTAATTTATGATTTTCTAGTAGCACATTTTTAGAAACACCAAAAGTACATAAGTGATTTTATTTTATTTATTTATTTATTTATTTAAGATTTTATTTATTTGCGAGAGAGACAATGGGAGACAGAGATCATGAGAGGGAGGAGGGTCAGAGGGAGAAGCAGACTCCCCGCTGAGCAGGGAGCCCGATGTAGGACTTGATCCCAGGACTCCAGGATCATGACTTGAGCCGAAGGCAGTTGCTTAACCAACTGAGCCACCCAGGCGCCCCCATAAGTGATTTTAATACATTTTAACCCAATATATCTAAACTATCGTTTCAACAAATAAGCAATATAAAAATTACTGAGATTTTTTTTTTTTTTTTTAATGCGTGTGCTAGGTTTTCACTCAAAATCTAGTATTTTACACTTAAAACACCTCCCAATTTGGACTGGTCACAATTCACATGCTCAGTAGCCACATATAGCTGGTGGCTACCATATTGGACCATACAGCTATAGATAAAAAAGTTTATAATGGGGACATGTCATTGGCAGCTTTTCTTTTTCCACCCCTAAATTAACTAACTTTTATTGGGAATGGAGACTTTTCTGCAGGTTTCATATATATTTATTCTTTCACTTATTCTTTTCACACACACAGTGCAGTCAGTTTTATAGGTGAGAAATCAGAGCCAAATGTATTAAATCGTCTAAGGTCATGCAGCTAGTAAGTGGCACACGTATTAGAAAGGATAGAAAACAGAGGGGAAACATTTAGGAGGTAAAATCTAGAATTGATTGCTTACTGATGTGCTGTGGAAGGCAGGAGGGAGAGAAGAATGGAGAGCAATGCTCAGCTTTCCGCTTTGGATGCCAGCAAGTGAATATGCAGACAAACATTTTTGAAGGATCGATTATTCATTTTTACAATGGTTAATTCAGGCCTGCAGTTGGAAACAGCCTGAAGCTTGGGGAATGGTCTGGGCTAGAGATACAGATTTGGGAGGCCTCAGGGATCACCCAGGGTGAATATACAGAATCTAGGGGATGCAACATTGGGTCCAAGAAACAGTGGCATGATGGGTACAGGGACCAAACAGAGGTGGAGTCATAATAGCCAAGGGAAGAGAGAGACTGTCAAGAACAAGGGAGTGGGCAGCACCAGGATGCGGCCCTTAAGTCCTGTAAGATAACTAAAAAGTGTTCAGTAGGTTGCACAATTAGAAGATCTTTGTTTAGTAAGAACTATTTCTTCTTTGTGATGGGGGTAGGAGCCAGATTGTAGGAGTCAAGGAGGCACATGAGAGGAGAGAAAGAAAGAATGAATGAAGACTACTCTTTGAAAAAATTAGAAGCAGATGTAAGAAAAGGGTTGGATTATAGTGAATTTATTTGATTTATTAGCCAATTATGTGAACTAGTAAGGTTGTGTGCCAAGATTTTAGAATATGAAACCTTGTTGAAGAGTGTAAGAGCCAATTCTGAATAGCCTAGGTATAATAGGGTACTTGTCATAGAATCCGTATGCATTCTCTATATACATATATGTATGTGACATGTATAATTTGTGTGTATGTTATATTCGCTTATATATATAAAATATATGTGTATGTGTATAAGCTATGTAAAAGCTTTTTTGGTTTTATAGTTTGTGTAAAACTTGTTTAGTAATATAGCATGTTTTTATACTGTTTATTGGATTTTTTTAAATTACGGAAGGATTGAGTATCAGAATAAATCAGTGACACAGATGATAAAGAAAAAGGTAATCTAGCCTCACTCTCCAAGACAACCATTGTTAACCATTTAAATTCTTCTCTTTGCTCTGTACTCCTAAGGATGCACGTTTTTTGATTCCAGAGGAAAAGTGACCCAGTGATCTGTTATTTCTTTCTGTAGGACTTTTCCCATGCCAAACAGCTATTTGCTGCTTGTTTGGAGTTGGTAACAGAGTTCTCACCGAAACTTCGTCAGGTCATGCTGAATGAGATGCTGCTTTTGGATATTCATACCCATGAAGCTGGAACGGGGCAATCAGGAGAAAGGCCTCCTTCTGATCTTATTAGTAGGGTGCGGGGATATCTGGAAATGAGGCTTCCTGGTAAGATGTTCACAAAGCCAAATTTCAGAAGTGCAGTACTCAAGTAATCGTAGGGAAGAATCCTAAAAAAACATTTTCTTATTTTTTTGCCATCTTAAAAAAGTTACTGCTCTCCTGAAACAATTCAGATGTGGAGTTCTCTTGAGAACATTGAAGATAATGTAGGAAACTATTCATTTCCTAGGATTACCATAACAAAGTACCACAAGCTAGATGATTTAAAACAGCAGAAATTTATTCTCTCATTTTTGGAGACTAGATATCTGAAATCAAGGTGTCTGTGGGGCCATGCCCCCCCCTGAAGGCTCTGGGGAAGAATCTTTCCTTGACTTTTTCTAGCTTCAGATGGCTGCCAGCAATCTTTGGCATTCTTTAGCCTGTAGCTTCACACTCCTGTCTCTCCCTCCTTTGTTACGTGTGTGTGTGTGTCCTCTTATAAAGGCACCAGTCATTGGTTGTAGCGTGTGTCCTAATTGTATGATGTCATCTTAACTAAGTATATCTGTGAAGACCCTGTTTCTATGTGAGGCAACTCAGGTCTCGAGTGGAAATGAATTTTGAGGGAACACTGTTCAACACACTACAAAACTGTATTGCAATTTTAAGATACTCTGTTAACGAAGAATTAAAATGTCCTTGTAAGTATAGGTTGAATGTTTAGTTCCTTATTACCATCATAGAACTCATCAAAATGATTGCCAGTGGGTCAGGAACTCACTTGTCACTTTAGGAACAGACATTCTGTGTCTATTTGTAAGTATAAATGTGTTATGAAGGGGCGCCTGGGTGGCTCAGTCATTAAAGCGTCTGCCTTCGGCTCAGGTTATGATCCCAGGGTCCTGGGATCGAGACCCGCATCAGGCTCCCTACTTGCCAGGAAGCCTGCCTCTCCCTCTCCTACTCCCCTTGCTTGTGTTCCCTCTCTCACTATCTCTCTGTCAAATAAATAAAATCTTTAAAAAATAATAAATATGTTATGAAAATTATATAAATTATATAATTATGTATAAAAATTATTATATAAATGATCTCTGTTGTATGTAAATGTTGCTTAAAGAAGTTTCTTAATTTTACATGTTCTAGTAATTTTAGAACAGTAAGTCCTACTGTACATACTTAAAGCTGTAAAATTGAAGTATAAAGGAAGGTGCTAGTAATGTACCAAAACAGAAATGGCTTCTGGCCCTCTGGAGTCTTGGATTAATTTAATTGTCATTACATTCTGATTTCTAGCAGATAGTACAACTTTTTAGCACTCTGCTGATAGAATACCTTTGAGCTTTAATGCGTCAGTGCCCTTTAATGTCGTAAAAATTGATCCAGTAATATACTGGCACTGTCCACGGACACATGCTACTGTGTCTGTTTTCTTTTTAAAGGTGGAAGTTTGATTTTTCGTACATGATTTCTCTAAAATGAAAAGAGGGATTTTTAAAATTCCAACATTTGTTGAGTGTTAGCTGCATGTCAGATGTTGTTGGAAGAGCTTTAGGTACAGAATTCACTTGGTCCTCATGGCAGCTCTGTGAAGTAGTTGCTATTTTAATTATCCCTGTTCGTAAATCAGGAAACAGGTACAGAGAGGTTAAGGAATTTGGCCAAAGTCACCTAGTAAGAGACAGAACAGGGATTTGAATCCATCAATCCTGGTTAAGCCTCTGCTCTTACTCTTTGAAATAGATGGAAATGCCTTTAAATAAGCACAGGTCTGTTTGTACTACCTTTTTGACCTTTAAGTAGTCTGGAATTTACATCACTTTTTTTTTTTTTTCCTGTTTTTGTCCAAGACTCCTAGCACTGCACCTAATTTATGTAAATTCTTACCTTGTTGGATGTTCAGCTGCTTGTCCCATAGTTTGTGTTACAAGTAGTGTTTAAAATGGAAAGGCAAGGATGTCATTTATTGTTAGGAGGAATAAGCACAGTGCAGTGCCTTGTCTTTGTGCCTCAGTTACAGACTAAGTTCCCTGAGTTCAGCAGACACCTGGCTCTGATTCTCTGGCAGGAGAGTCAGGGTGGGTACAGTGGTCTCTCCATGGGTCATGATGGGGGGAGGTGTGTGAAAAGGGGTCATCTGCCACATACTCCTCCCTCTTTTTTTTTTTTTTAAGGTTCATTTGAGAAAGCATGGGAGAGTGGGTAGGGCGAGGAGAGGGAGAAAGAGAAAAGCAGGCTCCACGCCCAATGCAGAGCCCAACACAGGCTTAATCCCACCAGCTGAGCCGAAATCAGGAGTCAAATACCTGACTGACTGCCACCCAGGTGCCCCTCCTCCCTCTTTTTTTAAGGAAAAAAAAATTGTTTCCTGATAGTATTGGGTCAATTTTGATCAAATTAGTTGCATGCCCTCTGTAGAAGAGGGTGTTAGGTGGATTGGCCTGGCTCTACTATCAGGAATAGGAAGTGATCTTAATTGACAAAGATCCAACCTTCCATTTATAAATAAAGGCTACAGATTAATTATTCTTTTTTTTTTTTTTAAGATTTTATTTATTTGACAGAGAGAGAGATAGCGAGAGCAGGAACACAAGCAGGGGGAGTGGGAGAGGGAGAAGCAGGCTTCCCGTCGAGTAGGGAGCCCGATGTGGGACTCGATCCCAGGACCGTGGGATCATGACCTGAGCCGAAGGCAGATGCTTAACAACTGAGCCACCCAGGCGCCCCAGATTAATTATTCTAACACCAGTGATGTCTTTTGGGAGAAATACCCCAACTTTTATTAATTTTTTTCCAAAGATTTAGAATGTGTGCATGCACGCACATGCACAAGTGGGGGGGGTGCAGAGGGAGAGGGAGAGAATCTCAGGTGGACTCCCCACTGAGCACAGAGCCCAACATGGGGCTTGATCCCATGACCTTGAGACTGTGACTAGAGCTGAAATCAAAAGGTGGATGCTCAACCCACCAAGCCACTCAGATGCTCCGAAATTTCCCAACTTTTAATACCTTTGTATCAACAGCTTACTTTCTCTTGAGATGTGTCTTTGTTATGTTCCTAGGATTTCAACAAAATTGAATTCTAGGCCTACTCTGGGTGCCTGTTACAGCATAGGACTTCTACATTTAGAAATAATGCTTAATTGCATTGCAGATGCTTAAAGGGAAGTTTAATCTCCAAATCACTGCTTTTCAGGCTGTATCAGAATTCTCCCTAGATTCTAATTTATGTTTAAGAACCATTGCTCTGTTACTGTTTGGGGAGTGCTGGGTGAATAAAGGAAGCATTGGAGCCAAATGCTGTGTGATCTGCCTTTGGCAAAATGTAAAGAACTCAATGACATGCATGCATTGAGGATACTAATTTCCCTTCTGTCTTTGTTCTTTCTTGACGATGATGCAAAGAATGTATATTTTGCTGTGTTCCTATAACTCTCTGTCCCGTCAAATCCTTTTTTGGGTAAGGTGAGATATAAACTAATAGCCGTAGGCAGTCTTTTAGAAAGACTAAAATATAAGTACTCAAAAAGTTTAATAGCTCTCCCTATTTTAAGTTAACATTGTTATTCAGCATTCTTTGGGATTTTTCTTTTTGCTGAAGTACATTAAAACCTGAATATTATATACGTTGAGCTATGAAAATTTGCAACATATTTAATATTAAAGTAGATTTAATATTTCAAAGGAAGTTATGTGCAAAACAGTGCCTTTTTTTTTTGGTCCAAAACAATATTGGGTGATTTTTTTTCTCATCAGTTTTTATTTAAAATTGTTTTTGGCACAGTAAATATTTTTTGAAAGTTAAGGACTTGTTTCTGAGGAGTATTATGTCTTAATCAGCAGAAATATTTAAAATGGTACATTTAGTCAGATTTGTTACACTTTTATTATATGTTTTAGCTATTTTTGTGCTCTAAATGTGCTAAAAGTTTATATGGTACCATTGTACTTGTGTGTTTATTCTTTGCTTGTTTGAATTACAGATTTCTAGAGGACAGGTACTGTGGACTTCCTCAGTAGGGTGTTGGCCATGTAAAGTATTCATAGTAGATGATTTTGTTGATTAGTACTGGGGACCATGCAGTCTGTTGGGAAACCTTAACTTTCTAGAGAAAAATGTAAAATGTTGGAATTTTTCTATTTTTTCATCTGTAATTGTTTTTAATTTGTTCAACTGAACTCTTAGTACATGTTTGCTTTGTTCTCATTTTAATGTTATGATGGTAATTCCAACTGTTTTCTTCTTTGGCTTTTTAGATATTCCTCTTCGTCAAGTGATTGCTGAGGAGTGTGTTGCTTTTATGCTAAACTGGAGGGAAAATGAATACCTTACACTGCAAGTTCCCGCGTTTCTGCTTCAGAATAATCCATATGTAAAGGTAACTTGTGTTTAAATAAAGGGATTATTAGTTTGGGATCATTGTAACTGTTTCTTTAGATCTTTTTTTTTTTTTTTTAAGTGAGAGAGAGCATGAACAGTGGGGGAGAGAGAAAGGGAGAAGCAGATTCTCTGCTGAGCAAGGAGCCAGATGCAGGGCTTGATCCCAGACCCCTGGGATCGTGACCTGAGCTGAAGGCAAGAGCTTAACCGATTGAGCCACCCAGGCGTCCCTGTTTCTTTAGATCTGTACTACTTAGGGAACTTGTCCAATTTCTAAAATATAGTGGAAGATTGGACAAATGTTTGTTGGTTTGTGATTAAAAGTATAGTTTTGCGTTCATGCAAATGCAAGCAGAAATTAGTTAACAGACAACATGTTGGTATAACCCTAAGCTAATGAGAGGTTTAGTTAGCTTTTCTTGTTGTATGAACTGGTGGAGCAGGGAGGGGTACACTTCTAGCTGATTTCCATCTGAGCACCTTACCTTCTTTTTTTTTTTTTTTTTTTTTGACAGAGATAGATAGCGAGAGCAGGAACACAAGCAGGGGGAGTGGGAGAGGGAGAAGCAGGCTTCCTGCTGAGCAGGGAGCCTGATGTGGGACTCGATCCCAGGACCCTGGGATCATGACCTGAGCTGAAGGCAGACGCTTAACGACTGAGCCACCCAGGCGCCCCACCTTACCTTCTTTAGAGCCTATTTCCTCCTCTAGATTCGGGCCTGATTCTTGTTTGTGTATGTGGAATTAGACCCCAATGAAAGAATTCCTTCAGTGAATTGGTGCCGAGATGTTTATTCTCGTTTCTTAATTATATCTGTCCTGTGCAACTGGAAATGTTTCTGGGTGGAGAAGACAGAAATAGAGACTGGAGTTTTCCCTAAGACTGTGTCTGTTTTGTGCAAATGTTATGTATACCCTGAATAAGCAGTGGACTTTTCTCCCTTTCTGGTCTTATCGTTAAAATAACATTTAGTGATTTAACATTTTTCTGGTACATTTGGTTTTTCAGATTTCCTCCTTATTGTTTGTATGCTTTTTGTTCTTTATCTGCTCTCATCTTTAGTACATAGTATCTTAAATCAGTGGTTATCTGGGAACTCTTGTAAGACTCTTCTTTTTTTTTTTTTTAAAGATTTTATTTATTTATTTGAGAGAGAGAATGAGATAGAGAGCATGAGAGGGGGGAGGGTCAGAGAGAGAGGTAGACTCCCTGCTGAGCAGGGAGCCCGACGTGGGACTTGATCCCGGGACTCCAGGATCATGACCTGAGCCGAAGGCAGTCGCTTAACCAACTGAGCCACCCAGGCGCCCCTCTTCTCACTTTTTTACATTTGTCTTTGGTTATTTGTTTTTTCCTCCTAATTTCATGTATGTCCTTTTAAAAACTGAGCTCATTTCATTTCAGCCCTTTGAAGATTTACTGTTTTCTTTTGTAAAGTTTTTCTTCCTTTTTGTCTTCTCTACAATTGTTCCTAAAATTTATTGTCATAATTTGAATCCTCTTTCTCTTTGGAATATTAGACATTGGATTATATCTGTTTTGTTTTTTGGGTGTGTGTGTGTGTGTGTGAACTTTGTGATGTGAGTTCCTCATATCTAGAGTACTACTCTGATTATACCCCATAGTCTTGGTCTTTACTCAACTCTCAGATGAAAGAACCATTTTGTTCCAAGAGATTTCCACTTAGGATCCTAGCTTGTTGCTTAGGACAGTACAGTAGCTTCTCTTTGTTTCTCTCCACAGTGAATTCTGTGGGGTTGTGCAGTGGCAGGACGGGGTGCGTGCTTGAGGGCCAGCAGTGTGGAAGGGCACAGGGTATTGTGCTGCAGGTTCCCTGACCTTGGGCTGGGTGATGTCATTACTTTGTGCAGTCCCCCTGATTGGGCCCAAAAGGAGGAAGGATAGGTGGTGACCTTGCTGAAGAGTCACTGCGGCATCTCATCATCTCATCTGGTTGGGGTTTGTGTGTCCCCTTCCCTAGTTGGCCCCTGGCTCCCTCGTTTATGTTAAGGTAAAAGGGATCCGAGAAGGAAGTCTAGAGTAAAGGACTTTGTTTTGAAGATACTATAATTTGGAACAGTTTCCAAACTTGGAATTTGGCGTGGAATATGTATACATATGTATAGGGAAGTCTGGAAGGATTTTTTTTTTTAGATTTTATTTATTTGACAGAGACACAGGGAGAGCGGGAACACAGCCGGAGGAGTGGGAGAGGGAGAAGCAGGCTGCTGAGTGGGGAGCCCGATGTGGGACTTGATCCCAGGACCCTAGGATCATGACCTGAGCCAAAGGCAGATGCTTAACGACTGAGCCACCCAGGTGCCCCAAGTCTGGAAGGATATTAAGTCATTATCTCTGGATAGTGGAATATTAGGTGATTTTAATCAGTTTTTATTTTTCATATCTTCTTATTTGAATATTCTGTAATCACAAAAAGGAAAGGGAAAATCTTAAGCATGTAACTAAAATGTGACCTTTTGAAATAGTACAAAACTATACAGTCTCCCCATTGGATCAGGAAAGGAAGCAGCATAGTATATTGGAAAGTGCACAGGATTTATGGACACTTGGGTTATAAAAGACTATAGCTGGGGCGCCTGGGTGGCTCAGTCATTAAGCGTCTGCCTTCGGCTCAGGTCATGATTCCAGGGTCCTGGGATCGAGCCCCGCATCGGGCTCCCTGCTCCACGGGAAGCCTGCTTCTCCCTCTCCCACTTCTCCTGCTTGTGTTCCCTCTCTTGCTGTCTCTCTCTCTCTCTTGCTTGCTCTGTTAAATAAATAAATAAATAAATAAATAAATAAATAATAAAAAATAAATAAAAAATAAATAAAAAAATAAAAATAAATAAATAAAAATAAATAATAAATAAATAAAAAATAAATAAATAATAAATAAATAAATAATAAATAAATAAATAAAAATAAAAAATAAAAAATAAAAAATAAAATAAAAAAATAAAAAAATAAATAAAAATAAATAAAAAAAATAAAAAAATAAATAAAAAGATAAAAAGATAAATATATTAAAAAAAAATCTTTACCAAAAAAAGTAACACACTAAAAAAAAAAAAAGACTGTAGCTAATAGGAGGAGGAGGGCTTGGTGGTAATAGTAATAGCATAGGATAAAGACCAAGGTTTTTCCTGTGGCCTACAAGGCCTTTTAAGGCGCAGGTGCTTCTTCCTCAGTTTGCCCTCTCCTGCTCCTCTGTCATGCCCACTCTGTGCTGCTGGTATCAGAGCACTCGGAGTACACGGGATGCTTTCTCTGCCTCTGAGCTTTAGCACGTGCCATTTGGTCTTTTAGCCGGGATGCCCTTCCCACTTCTGCCTGTTGGTGTGGTTTCTTTTTTTCTTTTTAAAGATTTTATTTATTTATTTGACAGCATAAGCAGGGGGAGTGGCAGGCAGAGGGAGAGGGAGAAGCAGACTCCCCACTGAGCAGGGAGCCCGATGCAGGACTTGATCCCAGGACCCTGGGATCATGACCTGAGCCGAAGGCAGCCGCTTAATTGACTGAGCCACCCAGGCGCCCCTGGTGTGGTTTCTTTAAAGCTTTGCCTTATTCCTTTCTCTGCAAATGAGTAAATCACTTTTTTCTTTTGTTACCTTTGAAAGGTGCTACTGGTCCTGTTACTTTTGAGCCATGGACATACATTTTTGTTGTACTTACACTGTGTAATCTTGATAGTTACTTTTTATATTCTCAGTGCTTTACTTGGTGCCCACACATAGAAGATGTTTAAGAATGTGGAATTCAGTTGACTTGGGGCCTAAGACTTTTATTTATATATTTATATATTTATTTATTTATTTAATTTATTTAAGTAATCTTGGTATGCTGTGTGGGGTTTGAACTCACCACTCCAAGATCAAGAGTCACATGTTCTTCTGACTGAGCCAGCCAGGTGCCCCTGGGGCCTAAGACTTCTGAAAATTTTTACTTTCAAGTAAATTAATGTAGTAAGCTTCAACTAAGCATGTGATTCTTGACAACAGAAAATGAATTGAGACAGGGAGCTGCGGGAGGCCCTGTATTGCACTGCAGTCGATAGCTGCATGTATGGTGGGCCTAGTTGTCGGAGCTGACTTGTGTTCAGTAGGCATGCAAGGTGAAATGTACTCCTAGGCTGTGGCCTCTAGATTTCCATTCATACAGCACAGCTAGGGTTGGTTTTTTGTTAGTGCGAGCAGTGGTGGAGGTGGAGGGAGAGAGATAATCCTAAATGGGGTCCATGCCCAGCACCGAGCCCGATGCAGGGCTCCATCATGCAGGGCTCCACCACATGACCCTGAGATCATTACCTGAGCAGAAATCGAGTTGGATGCTTAACCAACAGAGCTACCCTAGGCCACCCCTAGCCACAGCTAGGGTTTTTACATCATTTTTACTACCTTAGGAAGCACCAGTGTTCTAAATTGTCTTAGGTGTGATCACGGGGTAGTGGTTACGAATTATGGTTACGTAGTAGGAAAATGTTCTTGTCCTTAGAAGATACGTATTGAAGTATTTAGGGCTGAGGTGTGGTGTCTGCAGCTCACTAGTTGACAAGCAGTACATGTAGATATGTAAAGTAAATGTGGCAGAATATTCACAATAAGTCAAATAGGTATTGAACTATTCAAATTTTCTATTTTTGAAATTTATTATTAAAAAATTGGGGAGGGGCGCCTCGGGGGCTCAGTCATTAGGTGTCTGTCTTCGGCTCGGGTCATGATCCCAGGGTCCTGGGATCGAGCACCGCATCGGGCTCCCTGTTCAGCGGGAAGCCTGCTTCTCCCTCTCCCACTCCCCCTGCTTGTGTTCCCTCTCTGGCTCTATCTGTCTCTGTCAAATAAATAAATAACATCCTTAAAAAAAAATAAAATAAAAAATTGGGGAAAGTATCAGTTTTCATCTTTGTCAAAATTTGGCTGCTTTTTTTTTTTTTTAAGATTTTATTTGAGAGAGAATGAGAGAGAGAGCATGGTGGGGGGAGGGTCAGAGGGAGAAGCAGACTCCCCGCTGAGCAGGGAGCCCAATGCGGGACTTGATCCTAGGACTCCAGGATCATGACCTGAGCCGAAGGCAGTCGCTCAACCAACTGAGCCACCGAGGCGCCCCCCAATATGGCCACCTTCTTAAACTACTGTAAGCAGTGGGGACCCCATTATGAATATTTTCTAGGTCCAGTAAGGGATCTGGGGTTTCCTGATGGACTTGAAATTATCCTTGCCATTTCACTCTCTAAAAGAGCAATGATGTATAAGATTTAATAAGAACAAAGGATAGAGGGGCCCTCTTCTTGTTTTGAAGTTACAGAGGGAAAGAAATGCTGAATTTGACTTAAGCCTGTTTTTTCCTCTACATTTTGGTCCTGTCTTTTCTCTGCCTTTTGCTTTTAGCCCTTCCACTCTTTATGGGTTCTTCTTGCATTTTTGGTCCTTAAGACTTCCTTTATTCAGATCATTCACTTTCAGTAATCTGTCCTTCCTTCTGCCTCCTCACATCTGCAATAGCCCCAGTCAGTGGCTGCCATTTTTCTTAGACAAAGGTTGTTCTAAATCTTACTCCCTTATTCTGCCAACTTCAATTTCCAGATTTCTCCCCTCATTTTTTCATTAAAAAAAATTTTTTTTTTGGGTGCCTGGGTGGCTCAGTTGGTTAAGCGACTGCCTTCGGCTCAGGTCATGATCCTGGAGTCCCAGGATCGAGTCCCGCATCGGGCTCCCTGCTCAGCGGGAAGCCTGCTTCTTCCTCTGACCCTCCCCCCTCTCATGCTCTCTCTATCTCATTCTCTCTCAAATGAATAAATAAAAATTTTAAAAAAAATCTTTAAAAAAAAATTTTTTTTTTAAATGATTAAAGTGTGTGTGAAGTTAAAGCACTATTTTAATTGCATCTCTGGGCTTTACTACAGTTAACATTATATATACGTTCCATTACACACATACACACGCACGCACCCTGCCCCCCACCCCTTTTAAGTTGGATCATACTATTTACCAGCTTGGTGTTCCCCCTTCCCACTCTTAATAAATCACATACCTCTTTGGTTTGTCTCAGTTTTGTTCTTATTAGACTATACTTATTTTTGTCGTTGTTAGACCTAAATTGTGTAGAAGAAATGAGCTTTATAATGTGGAAGGACCAGAGCATCCTCTTGCCCATTCAGATTTCCAGTCTGTCAGTAGACAGTGAGCTCTAAATTCCTCAGTGGTTGGATGGAAGGCATAGCATAAAATAACTTTGGTGTATTTGGGTAGTTATCCTTCTTTCTTCAAGTGTGCCTTAATAATAGAACTTACATCTGTAGTTCTGTTGTTGTAAATTATTTTTTGTGTATTTTCTGTTTTTCATGTTATAGCTTGGACAGCTTTTAGCAGCTACATGCAAAGAACTTCCTGGCCCTAAAGAAAGTAGACGGACTGCTAAAGACCTTTGGGAAGTTGTTGTTCAGATCTGTAGTGTGTCCAGTCAGCACAAACGAGGAAATGATGGCAGAGTCAGTTTAATAAAGCAGAGGGAATCTACATTAGGCATAATGTATCGGTATGTTTCTATCAGTTTATTTCTTGAGTTATTATCTGTACTGTTTGTACTGTTTCAAGAACATTGACCTTTATCTTTGTATATCATAAAGATGAACAGTGTTAGAGTTCTCTGGTGCTGATCTGTGGACTGACATGGCCGCCTTTGGAAATATCTTCTGTTTATATGTTATTTTAAGAGATTGTTAATCGTTTAATATCTTCTGGAATTCAGAATCAGCGGTGCCTATGATTGCATTGTACTGAAGAAGTCACGTGATTGAAACAGGAGGTTTTTTTTGTTTTGTTTTAAGATTTTAATTATTTAACTGCGGGAGAGAGACAGCTAGAGAAGGGGACACAGGCAGGGGGAGTGGGAGAGGGAGAAACAGGCTCCCGGCTACGCAAGGAGCCCAATGCGGGGCTCGATCCCAGGACCCTGGGATCATGACCTGAGCCGAAGGCAGATGCTTAACGACTGAGCCACCCAGGCACCCCCAGAGAAGTTGTTTTATTAGGTTAGTATGATATTAGAACATTATATTCTTTCATACGTGCAGAACTGGAGAGTTAGGAATAAACCATGTATAATTTACTTTTTAATTCTGATAGTAAATGTATATACAAAATTTGTGTTTTTTGTAGGAGCGAACTACTTTCTTTTATCAAAAAATTACGGGTAAGTTTTATTAAAAGTTGATCTAATTATTACTGCTGATTTTCTGAAAAATAGTGTGTTTAAATGCTGATTATTTAAGTGCTCTGTATAATGTTCATCAGTGATCATTCCTGAAGATGGGTTGGTCTGAATGGACAGGTTCATTTTGCATTTACCTTAACATGTTTTAGTGAATAGAACAGGTATTTTTTAAATTTTAAAGACGTCTTCCTAATAGGGCTGGATGTGTGAAGCCTAGCTTTAATTTTTGTTAGGGTTAATATTACATCTATTTACTGGACATAACCTAGATTCCATCCTTTAAATATTATTGTAAGGAATAAAAAGTTAATTTTTTTAGAGATAGCTGGAAGTACTAATTGGAAAGAGATTTATTTGCTCAGTTCCAAGTCGTCTGAGGACTTGAGTGCTGTAAGCCAGTTACCTAAATATGGTAATTTTTCTTTTAAGTTTTATTTACTTGAGAGCGCACGCCTGAGCAAGCACACACATGCGCACATGCGCGGGGGGGAGGGGCAGAGGGAGAGGGAGAAAATCTCAAGCAGACTCCATGCTGAGCGTGGAGCCCGACTCAGGGCTCGATCCCACGACCGTGAGATCGTGACCCAAGCCGGAACCAAGAGTTGGATGCTCAACTGACTGAACCACCCAAACGCCCCTAAATATTTTGTGTAAATTGTATGCTTGATTTCTTTCATGAGATTAAAAATAAACTAGACCTGTAGTATATGCTCTAAACTAAAGAAATGGTACATTTCAAAAGTCAAAGAATTTTTTGAGAGAAAATACTTGGTATCCCTGAGGTTGACAGGAATATTAAACATGTATAATATTTAAGGATTCTGTATTTTCTTTCTTATAGGAACCATTGGTTTTGACCATTATTTTGTCACTCTTTGTGAAACTTCACAATGTTCGGGTCAGTATTTCATAATTTCATTTAAAAAAATCTTTGAAAGAAATTTCCTTTTAAAATCACACTTTAAAAAAAGTTTTTTTTTTCCTTTTAAGGAGGACATTGTGAATGATATTACAGCTGAGCACATTTCTATTTGGCCATCCTCCATCCCCAAGTAAGATGTATTGTAGCTTATATTAATTATTTATGTATTTAGAAACCATCCTGATACAGATAACCTTGAGTAGTTTGACTAAAAGGCTATAATCTGTTAGGATTCTACAGCCAGGTTTGTTTCTCTTTGCAGTCATTATTTTCCTAAAAAGGTATACCAGCCTTCAGTCCAACAGAAAGATCCCTGAGTGATCTTGATGACTTATCAAGGGGTAGAATTAGAAAATCGAGGCTCCCCCCCCCCAAAAAAAATTGATTTCCTGTTAGGTTTCCAGCATTTTACGTCTTTTACAAGTAACTATTTGAAAAATGACTTTTCTGTTTTTTAAGATTTTATTTATTTGATAGAGACAGCAAGAGAGGGAACACAAGCAGGGGGAGTGGGAGAGGGAGAAGCAGGCTTCCCGCAGAGCAGGGAGCCCGATGTAGGGCTCGATCCCAGGACCCTGGTATCATGACCTGAGCCGAAGGCAGATGCTTAATGACTAAGCCACCCAGGTGCCCCGAAAATGACTTTTTTGTAATTCTTTGTAGGTCTATTCTAACACTGTGATAGTCAGAGGCTCCCAAACCCCTTTTAGTTACTAAGAAGTTCTTGGGTACTTTAAGAAATGTTATTTCTTTCATCTCCTGAGAATCACAATAAGATGATGGGGGAATTTTGGAGAAGGAGAAGAAAATGTTCTTTTTCTGGAAGAAGAAACCATATACACATTTCTTTTCCTATACATAGCAACTTCTCATTCAGGAGTCCCATTTCTTTCCTCACAAAAGTTACTTTTTCTTCTTTCCTCACCCCCTATATATATATATATATTTTTTTTTTTTTTTTTTTGCTTTGTGCTTGGGCAGGACTAGGCCTTATTTTGTTGCTCTTAGTGGCATCTTTGAAGAAGAAAAGATTTTAGTAGGTAGATAAGCAGTCTATAGAATGAGAGTAATTTGCTTTTTTTTTTTTTTTTTTAAGATTTTATTTATTTATTTGAGAGAGAGAAAGAGAGCGAGCATGAGAGGGGGTAGGGTCAGAGGGAGAAGCAGACTCCCCGCCGAGCAGGGAGCCCGATGCGGGACTCGATCCCGGGACTCCAGGATCATGACCTGAGCCGAAGGCAGTCGCTTAACCAACTGAGCCACCCAGGTGCCCGAGAGTAATTTGCTTTCATCTCAGTCTTAGAGATTAGAAGTAGTTGCGCATCTCATGTAGAAGTTTGGAGGGTCAAAAGTGGGCAGGTGATCCTTTACTCCACTTACTGAGGCTTGTTTTCCAAAGGATCATGATGCTTCATGAAGCAAATGTGCGTATTACACAACACTGTAACTGCAGATTTTTTTTTCAAGATTTTTAAGTAATTTCTACACCCATCATGGGGCTTGAATTTACAACCCCAGGAGCAAAAGTCACATGCTTTACTGACTGAGCCAGCCAGGCATCCCGTAACTACAAATTTTTATATGAAATTTTTTTTTCTTCACACACATACATGAACCAGGTTGGGGGGGGCAGAGGGAGAGGGAGGGAGAGAATCTTAAGCAGGCGCCTGATGTGGGGCTCGACCTCACAACCCTTGAGATCATGACCTGAGCTGAAATCAAGAGTCCGATGCTTAACCGATTGAGCCACCCAGGGGTGCCTTATATAAAATTTAGTATGTTAGATAGCAGTCCAAAAATCAGGTAGAAATGCTTCTGCCTTTTTAATTGATGGTTGGTAGCATCTCTCTGATGTTGTGTTTTTATCCTAAGTTAAGACTGTAACTTTTTTTTTTTTTAAGATTTTTATTTATTTATTTGTCAGAGCACAAGCAGGGGGAGCAGCAGAGGGAGAGGGAGAAGCAGGCTCCTCATGGAGCAAGGAGCCCAATGTGGGACTCGATCCCAGAACCCTGGGATCATGACCTGAGCCGAAGGCAGACGCTTCTCAACTGAGCCACCCAGGCATCCCAAGATTGTAACTTAATGACTGATTTTCAGTGTGTTTATAAATGAGGCAAAAGAATAGTTTACCATACAGGCTTTGAGCTAGATTGGTAGGGTTGGAGTCCCAGGCTCTTTTTCACTTACCTGGTACATAACCTTGGGTAAGTTGCTTTCTTTGCCAATTTCCTCATTTATTAAATGGGTATAAGAATAGTACCTATCTCAGATTTGTGAGAATTAAATAAGTTAGTACATTTTCTAAACCAGTTGTTTAGAATAAGGACTGGCACATATAGGCTTAATAACCATTATCTTCATCATGATAAAGCTACTTTAATATAAATTGACCTAGAGAAAATATAATGTGACTAAATGACCAGAAAAAGCATTCCTCTTGAACAAGAGTCTTTATTGACTCCAAAAATAGTGTGAGAATGGCATGGATTAAGCATTACTATTTCAAGATCAGTTGTTTGATACGTAGATAGAATTCTTGTTAACATTTTATAAATTTATTTTTTAATTTATTTGACAGACAGCGAGAGAGGGAACACAAGCAGGGGGTGCGGGAGAGGGAGAAGCAGGCTTCCCTCTGAGCAGGGAGCCCAATGAGGGGCTCGATCCCAGGACCCTGGGACCATGACCTGAACCGAAGGCAGACACTTAATGACTGAGCCACCTAGGCGCCCCCATTTTGTAAATTTCTTAGATCGTATATCAGTTTAACTCATTTAGCTGTAAATATATAATCGAGTATTTGCCGATAATAACCATAGTTCCTTTCTCACTATATGGGGAACCCTAGTGAATTATGGTTAGATCTGGCACCTCATGTGTGTCTGAATCCAGAGCCTGTGTTCTCTCCCACCGTGCCTTACTGCTTCTGGGAGGTGGGCACTATCAGCTCTGTTTCTTGGGGGCTGGGCTGGCTTTTATCCCCACAGTTCCAGCTTCTGTTTCTGTATCAGAGTCCTTCCAGGTTTAACCAGGCTCAGAGCAGCTGGCCCCATTCCCTCCCCTTCCCACTTTCTTAGTTAGTTGTTGTGATAGTTTTAGTATATTTACTCTTAGTAATACTTAGCATTATATTTATGGTCACCTAAATTTTGGCTAAGTTTTTGTTTTTAATAAATGTGTCTGGAATTTGAAGTTGAAAAATAGAGATTAATGTTCATTGTCTTTTTTTTTTTTTTTTTTTTAAGCCTCCAGTCCGTGGACTTTGAAGCTGTGGCAATCACGGTGAAAGAGCTAGTTCGGTATGCCCTCAGTATAAACCCCAGCACCCATTCCTGGCTAATTATTCAGGCAGACATTTATTTTGGTAAGTGAGATGTATGGTTGCTTTGTGTTTTTGTTCTTTTGTAGCACTTTTAGAAATGAAAATAAATGTATGACACATTTTTTCCCAGTACTTTAAATCTTGTTTTTGACCTCTAACTCTTCTTCCTAGATATATTTATTTATTTTTCCGTGTTAATAAACATTTGCTCTGAACCAATACTTTTAATTTTTTATATTGACTGCCTTTTTTGTTTTTTTAAAAAGGTTTTTTTTTTTTAAGTTGAATGTTCATCTACTAAGTTGGTTAAAATATTAGGGAAAGAAGTTAAAGTTTAGGGGCGCCTGGGTGGCTCAGTTGTTAAGCGTCTGCCTTCGGCTCAGGTCATGATCCCAGGGTCCTGGGATCGAGCCCCGCATTGGGCTCCCTGCTTAGCAGGAAGCCTGCTTCTCCTTCTCCTGCTCCCCCTGCTTGTGTTCCCTCTCTCACTGTGTCTCTCTGTCAAATAAATAAATAAAATCTTAAAAAAAAAAAAAAGAAGTTAAAGTTTAGTTTGTAAAATTGCTATTTTTTTTTTTTAAGACTTACTTATTTTTAGAGAGACACCGAGAGAGAGAGCCAGTGCGGGGAGGGACAAAGGGAGGAGAGAATCCACAAACAGACTCCCCGCTGAACTGGGAGCCTGATGCGGGGACTGATCCCAGGACCCTGAGATCATGACCTGAGCCAAAACCAAGAGTCAGAGGCTCAACTGACTGAGCCACCTAGGTGCCCCTGTAAAATTGCTATTTTAAAATATTCTATTCTAGGGGCGCCTGAGTGGCTCAGTCGGTTAAGCATCTGCCTTCGGCTCAGGTCCTAATCTCAGGCTCCTGGGATTGGGCCCTGTGTCAGGCTCCCTACTCAGTGGGGAGTCTGCTTCTTCTCCCTTTGTCCCTCCTCCTGCTTGTGCTCTCTCAAATAAATAAAAATCTTTAATAAAAAAAAATTTTTTTTTTAATTTGTTCTAAATATGCTATTCTAAAATCTATCTTGGCACTCGATAATTATTTGTATTCTTGGAAATAGATTCCTGACTCCTCCCCCACCCCCATTTATATGTGATAGATTTTCCCACTTGATAAAGTTCCAATATTTCTATTACTGTATGGGTCAAATCAAATTTCTGACTGGTGTCATTTCAGGATCAATTTTCTTTAGGAGTTGAATTTTTTTTTTTTAGGAGCTGAATTTTTAAAAGAAAGTTCAAAATAAAAAAGAGAATAGTATAATGAACCCCCATGTATCTGTCACCCAGCTTTTTTTTTTTGCGAGAGAATGAGAGCACGAGAGGGAGGAGGGTCAGAGGGAGAAGCAGACTCCCTGCTGAGCAGGGAGCCCGATGTGGGACTCGATCCCGGGACTCCAGGATCATGACCTGAGCCGAAGGCAGTCGCTTAACGAACTGAGCCACCCAGGCGCCCACCCAGCTTTAACAGTAATTAACTCATGCCCATCTTCATTCCATCTGTATCCTCACCTACATCGTCCCCCTCTCTCCTGGATTCTTTTTGAGGCAAATAATTACTAGTTTTAATGTTCATTTTCACCCTAACCCCCTAAAGAACTTATTCTTAAGATTTTAATATCTATGTTCAAAATAGATTTACTGATTATAAACTACCTCAGAAAATTCAGGTATGTTTCTAGTATGGGTGTTTGGGAAACAAATACCTCCAATACTAAATTCTATGATAGTAAGGTTGACAAATCTGAGCTAAATTTTTGGCTAATCGGTTTTAGAAGGAAGGAGCATATTATATTGCTTCTTTACAGTAGTTTGAAAAAAAAATGCGTGTGTGTGTGTGTGCGTTCGTTCGTTCGTGTGTTCTTTCCTGGATAAGTGTTCTCCCTAGCACTGTGGTTTGAATCTGCTTTTGTCAACTGAGGAAGTAATAATACCCAACTCTTCACAAAAGAGGCTTTGTCTGTTTTTTCACCTGTTATGTCTGATGATAGGTAATTCTTTACTTCTGTTTTCTACTTTAGCAACAAATCAGTATTCGGCAGCTCTCCACTATTACCTGCAGGCAGGAGCTGTGTGTTCTGATTTCTTCAATAAGGCTGTGCCCCCTGATGTATATACAGACCAGGTAAGCTGTTTCTGTGGGCTCTCTTTCTTGGCTACCTTTACACTTTGTTTTTTCCGGGCCACTTTTTGGTGAGTTTATTTCTTTCCATGTATGTGGTGGTAACTAGGTAACTCCCAAGTTGAATCCTCTAGACGATGCAATTCCTCTCTGTATTTCCAGAGCCCATAGATCATTGCTGCTTTGATTTCCCAAAACACTTAAAAAAACTCAACCTGTCCAAAACTGATTTCAGCATCTTACCTTACAGTCTCCCTCCTCATGACCTTTTTCCACAAAAAGAATAATAACAAAACACCAAAATACCAAACACCTTTTGTTCATTTGAGTTGACCAGGCCCAAATCCTGAGTGTCCTCTTTACCGACGCTGCCACCGAAATCCAGTCAGCCTTCAAGACCTATTGATTCTGTCTCTTAAATCTCAAATTTATTTCATTTTCTTTCTATATGTATTGCTCTTTCCTCTGGTGTAGGCCACCAATATCACAACTTACTAAATGGTATTGTTCAGTACTTTAATAATAAATGGCTTTTGAAATGAGATCTTAAATTTTTTAGTAACTAGCTATTTTTAATTAAAATTTCCATTTAGAGCAATTACAGATTCACAGCAAAATTGAGCAAAAAATAGAGTTCTCATATACCCACCATTTCCACATACACACAGTTTTTGCCACTGTTGACATTCCATATCAGGTAAATGGGTTACAATTGATGTTAACTAGTTTTTGAAAGTAATCAATTTATTTTTGTAGGTAATAAAACGAATGATAAAATGCTGTTCTTTGCTGAATTGCCACACACAGGTTAGTTTATGATACTATGTTGGTTTATTTTCATGTGTATTAGAGTTTACCATAAATATAAAGCGTTGGACTGGGAAGTAGCCTTTATTTTCTGTATCATATAGTTGATGGTGTTTAAGAATTTGGTATATTCTTTAAATTTTTTTTTTTTTAGTAAATTTTAACTAAAATAAAAGTATGAATTAAAAAACATTGGTCTTTGCATTTTCAAGTTTTTTGTTTTTTGTTTTTGTATATAAGAGTGGATATGTACATTAGTCAGCTAGGGAAATACAAATCAATACGGCAGTGAGATACCCCTTCATATTCTCTAGGATGGCTATAATTGAAAGACAGTAACTAGTGTTGGTGAAAGTGTGGAGAAATTGTAACCTTCATACATTTCTGGTAGGAATATAAAATGGGAAACTCCTCTGGAAAACAACTTGGCAGTTCCTCAGAAAATTTAAGCATAAAATTACCAGTGTGACCTAGCAATTCAGTTCCTAGGTTTGTAACCAAGAAAGTTGAAAACCTGTCCACAGAAAAATTTATACATGAATGTGCATAGTAGCATTATTCGTAATAGCTAAAAAGTAGAAACAACCGGGCACCTGGGTGGCTCAGTTGGTTAAGCGACTGCCTTCAGCTCAGGTCATGATCCTGGAGTCCCAGGATCGAGTCCGCATCGGGCTCCCTGCTCCGCAGGGAGTCTGCTTCTCCCTCTGACCCTCCTCCCTCTCACGTTCTCTGTCTCTCATTCTCTCTCTCTCAAATAAATAAATAAAATCTTAAAAAAAAAAAAAAAGTAGAAACAACCCAGATGTCCATCAGTTGGTGAATGGATAAATAAAATTTGGGAGAGCCTACAGTAGAATATTATTTAGCCATAAAAGCGATTAAAGGGCTGAGACGTGCTGCAACAAGGATGAATCTTAGAAATATTATTTTGAGTGAAAAAAAACCCACATACACATGGCTTTGTATTATGATTTCATTCATATGAAATGTCCAGGATAGGCGAATATGTAGTCAGAATGAGGATTAGTGGTTGCCAGAGACTCAGGGGGTGGAGGAATGGACTAGCTGTGACAGGTCTAATTGCATGTTCTGTATGTCCTTGGAAGTCATTACGTAATACTTTTGTTTGGCAGTTTTCAACTCCTTTCAGTTTTCTGAACTGGCTTTTGCCAGTTTCTCAAAGCTGTAAAAATTTATGATTTTTAGGTCATTCATTAAATGGACAGATTTTTTTTTAAAGATTTTGTGTGAGAGCACGAGAGAGAGAGAGCTTGCTCAAGAGCGCGCATGTGCACATACAAGCAGGGGGAGCAGCAGACAGGGGGAGACAAGAAGCAGGCTCCCCACTGAGTAGGGAGCCCAATGTGGGACTTGATCCCTGAGATCATGACCTGACCCGAAGGCAGACCCTTAAGCCCCTGAGCCACCCGGGCACCCTGGGCAGACAGATTCTTGTGTAAAGGTTTTTGCAATTAAAATTAGATGGAATCCATAAATATGAGCTGATCCACTCGCTTTAATCTGCAAGCCCTTTTTAATATATTCTTTATTTTTTAAATTTATTTTTAATTTTTAAAAATATATTCTTGATGTAAGAATCATTAAAAATTACTTCTCCTGGGGGCACCTGGCTGGCTCAGTTGGAGGGGCATGCAATTCTTGATCTTGGGGTCGTGAGTTCAAACCCCACATTGGGTGTAGAGATTATTTAAAAAAAAAAATTAAAATTTACCCCTCCCAAAGAGTCATTGTTGACACTGATTACATGAAACCGTTTTCAAATCTTTGTTTATGTAGGTGGCAATTTTATGTCAGTTCCTCAGAGAAATTGACTACAAGACAGCCTTTAAATCATTGCAGGAACAAAACAGGTATGAATGATTTTTAAAATGAAGCTGAAATTTTTCTGCTTAAGAATGAGAAAGTAATTAAATTCTGTTTTTCAGTCATGATGCTATGGACTCCTACTATGACTACATATGGGATGTTACCATTTTGGAATACTTGACTTGTATCCTTTCATCAATATATGTGATATTAGAACGGTTCATTTCTGTAAATTAAAAAAATACTGTGTATTTCCTAAATCAAAGTCGAGGAACAATTGAGATTCTGTCATGGTCTTTAATAATATCAGATTTATTATTCTTAACTGATTTGTTTAGATCTTCATCATAAAAGAGGAGAAACAGATAAAAGACAAATTGCAGTAAGTTACTTTATGCCTTTCTTCAGTGATATACTTAATTTCCCTGGTATTAAACCATTGTTAAGATTTGGACCAACAAAAAAAGATTTTGTGTGCCTAGTTATTGCCAGAATTTGGTTATCCGTGTTTACTTTTAACAGGTCCTATTTTGACTTCAGAGCTTTTACCTCCAGTTTATTTATTTTTTTAAAGATTTTATTTATTTATTTGACAGAGACACAGCGAGAGAGGGAACACAAGCAGGGGGAGTGGGAGAGGGAGAAGCAGACTCCCCCCACAGAGCAGGGAGCCCGATGCGGGGCTCGATCCCAGGACCCTGGGACCACAACCTGAGCCGAAGGCAGACGCTTAACGACTGAGCCACCCAGCCGCCCCCCTCCAGTCTATTTTATATTAAAATGTTAGAGCATACCCTCTCTCTGTTCCAAACCTGTAAATGGTTTCCCATCTCATGCAGTGTCAGAGTCCTTGTAATGGCCTACAAGGCTGCAGATGACTTGACCTCTAACTATTCATTCGATTTTCTCCCTTGCTAACTTCTGCTACACCATTAGCTGTTCTTTGAACATGCTGAAAATACTCACCACTGAAGAGCTTTTGAAGTTTTATTTTCTAGAAACATTTCTTAACTTCCCTTAGGACTCCTCAACTGTCTTCTTAGTGATCATTTCCTGGGCATCTTATAAAATAGCAGTGTCTTTCTCCATCCTTTTCCCTCCAACACTCTCCTTTTCATTTCCCTTTTGAAATTTTCTTCCATTATACTTACCTACATCTGACATAGTGTATATTTACTATATATTGTGCCTCTATCTCCCTCTTCCCCTTCCTACTTCCCCACAGGAGGGACTTGGTTTTGTCATAGCTGATACCTAGAATGGTGCCTGGCTCACAATAGATGCTCAGTAATTGAATAGATTATTTAAAAATTTGACATCTAAGCTAGATATAAATTTACGGCCATTTTTACTTGCCTAGCATTTTTGAATCATTATCACCATAGATACTTTCTTTCTGCTCTTTCATCCATATTAACAAAATTATGTGCTATTGTGTGTCTTTTAAAGCTCTCTACCTGGACTAAATTGTATGACCATTATTTAGAGGAAAATGATTATAGTATCTTTTTTAAAAAAAATGAAAGAGAACATGAAGCTAGCTGTACTTGATTGGAGGCAACTCTTTCTCCATTTCCAGTTTATCCAGGGCTGGAAGGCAGTACTGAAATTGTTACTTCCCCAGTGCTATTTCCAAATCATATTTACTTGTAATCATTTTACACCCTTTCTCTTTAAAAGCTTACATCTATCTCCTGACAAGCTCATCTAACCAAACTAGTGGTTATTCCTCTGCGTGCATCAAAATATGTGATCAGTTTACCCAATTCCCCTAGCTTTACAAGTTCATTGTTACCTTTACTCTGCATCAGCCACCCACACCCATAGCCACGCCTTATTGTCAGTTGTTCCACATAAGATCTCTCTGCCAATAATCTATCCCTCTCTTACTTCCTGGCTCCCATGTTCTTCATTGTCAGTGAGATGTTCAGGTTCAAGACCACTTTTTCCTGTCAGCCCCTTCCCAGCTTCCCTTCCTTCTCTACTCACTTTAGTACAGCCAATACCAGTCTGTGCACTATCAGAGATGCTGATTCAGTTGGCCTGAGATGAGGTCCTGGAATCCACATTTTAAGTTTCCCAGATAGTTCTGATGACAAACCAGATTTGGAAACCCCTGTGTGTCTATGGCTGACTGTCAGAACTGCCCTTTGATAAATATTTATAGCATCTTTGCTTTTTTTGTCCTTCACTTCACCTGGAAAAATCCCTTTTCAAAAATTTATGCTTTTTTTTCCTGAGCCAGAGTCTGGTTGGAAAAAACCCTACAACCATATAAACTGGTGAGCCATTACCAAACCATGGTCTCCAAGCGTAGCTGGCCCCTCATCTCTTGTGTTATGGCCAGCAGTCAGGGGTCTACTTTTTCAGGGACTGTTTTAGACTTGCCTTTTGTTTAGTCCCCTGTCCTTTCTCTCCCTATTCTGTACTTCCTTGCCTGTGTTTAGACTAGACCAGAAAAAAGACTGACCTCCACATGGGAATTGTAGTTTTGGGAATTGTGGCCAAATCCCTCCTTCCCATCTTTAAAATCTGTAACTGTGCTCACCACTAAGTACACTCTTAGTAAGAGGTTATGTTACTTCTTGATGAAGGCAAGTTTCTAGGCTTTGATTCTATCTCTTCAGTGACCTTTAATGAGCTGTCTCTGCTCCTGTATTGTCAACCTCTCCCAGAGCTTATAAACTGTTTCATCCTTGACTGTGCCTCTACCTCCCTCTTCCCCTTCTCTGCCTAGTTTTTTGAAGCTCTTGGACCCAGTGTAATTTGACTTCTGCCATCACTGCTCCTGTTACCTCAAGGGTCACCAAATGTCAAAGCCAGTGGATACTCTTCAGTCCTTATCCTTTTGTTTACATCTCACTTCTTAAAATCTTTATTCCTTTGTTGTTCCTGACATCATTTTTACTCAGTTCTTTTCACTGTTACTTTTCTTCTGTGTGGGTATCTCCCTGTCTACCCCTTAACCTTGGTTTCCCCAGAAAGTTAGTCCCTCCATTATTTTGATTGCCCTACATCCTCCCTAGGTAATTTCACCCACTTATGGTTTTGACTGCTACTCACAGAGTACATTACTTCTCTCAAATCTCTGGTCTATCCCAATTTCTGTCTTCTACTTTGGACTTTTTATAGCCAGTCATCTTTGTGATACTTTGTTTGTTGGAAATCTCTAGTTATACCCAAAGACCATGTTTTTCCACATGCATTCCTTCATATGGAAATGGATATCCTCCAGCAATTCTTCCTACTCTCTGATGATCATTTCTGAATAGTCTACTGTCACCCTTCAAGCTACATATCAGAATAGTCTTTGTTGTTTAAAGTTTTGTTTTTTTTTTTAAGGTTTTATTCATTTGACAGAGACATAGCTAGAGAGGGAACACAAGCATGGGGGGTGGGAGAGGGACAAGCAGGCTTCCCGAGGAGCAGGGAGCCTGATGTGGGGCTCGATCCCAGGACCCTGGGATCATGACCTGAGCCGAAGGCAGATGCTTAACAACAGAGCCACCGATGCGCCCCTAAAAGATGTTCTAATTGGGTTTCTTTTTTTAATCTAAAGGTGTAGGTAAAGGTAATTCGAAGATGGTAAAGTATGTTCTCACAAAATGCTCCTTGGCAGAGTACTGTGGATTTTTAGTAGGCTGAGGTATTTCTTTCTAATCATGAAAGAAATGAATTACTGTATGCTATTATAGTGCTGAACAACTGTTTTTGCACCTTAAAAAAGTGAAGCCTTTCCTGAAACACAAATTTTGATTTTTCAGACTATTTTGTTGGAGCCCTAATTTAACTGTAAAAATGTGTCAAATGACATGCAGAGTTTATTTACTGGTATTTTTAGTCAAACTTATATGAATTAATGTTACTGTAGGTAGAGTAGTCGTCTCCCCTCTTTTCCACAGGGGTAAGTTCCAAGACCCCTGGTGGATGCCTGAAATCATGGCTAGTACTAAACGCTATATATACGTACCTATAGTAGAGCAATTATAACAATATACTGTAATAAGTTATGTGAATATAGTCTTTCAAAGTATTTTAACTGTATTGTACTCACTCTTGTGAGGTGAATGATGTAGGCATTGTGGTATAACATTAGGTTACTGTTGACTTTTTTAAGATTTTATTTGAGGGGGGAGAGAGGGCGCGCGCATGAGCAAGGGCAGGGGGAGGGAGAAGGAGGCTCCCCGCAGAGCGGGGAGCCCAATGGCGGGGCTTGATCTAGGACCCTGGGATCATGACCTGAGCCCAAGGCCGATGCCTAACTGACTGAGCCACCCAGGGCCCTCTACTGTTGACTTTCTAAGTTATGTCAGGAGGAGGATCATCAGCTTCTGGACCATGGTTGCTTTCATATAAGGGGGACCTACTGTAATTCCATAAGCAAGGCTCAGCATCTGATTTAATTTTTTTAAGAGTGGCTTTAGTCCGTCTTTGTTAGTGTCTTCCATACCTCTTATCATTTATAATTAGAAGTTCAGCTAGTCATTAAATTGTTAGCATGTAGTTTTATATTATGTACACTAGCAAGACTTTATCATCTTTGACCACACCTGTAATAACCTCACTTTCTTGTTTTGGAAGATCAAAGCCATCGGCCAAACAGAATTGAACGCAAGCAACCCAGAAGAAGTGTTACAGCTGGCAGCGCAGAGAAGGAAAAAAAAGTTCCTCCAAGCAATGGCAAAACTTTACTTTTAAGCAGTTAGTTAAAATTTTTTAACTTTTATTTTTTAAACAATGGGCTAAAAATAAACAGTATTAGATTATATAATACATATGTACACATTAAGTGGTGTTTTCTTTTCAGACAATACTGAAACAGTTGAAAAACAACTATACAGAAGACTTCATACCATAGCTTAAATTTATAATTTCTTCAAAGGAAGAGATTCACATGTCCAGTAACAGAATAAACTAGCAACTTAGTATAATTTATTTTCTATTAGACCCACTCTTGAGGCTGAAATTTTGTTTCTTAAAAAAAAAAATAGGTAGAAGTAGCTAGTCTATACACAGCAAGTTCTTATGTCAGGTTTTTTGTTTGTTTTTAATAAATAATCTAGGAGTCAGTATACATTTACTACTTTTCTGCCTTATGAAAATAGAAGTTTAGGTCAAGTGTTAAGCTTTATCACTTTGACACTGTCCTTAACTCATAATGTAGGAATTAAAAAAGGACCTTAATAGTTTTGCGAACATAAATAGTCTTAGTCACACTAAATTAAGAAAAAGTCCTTAGGGATATCTTGGGAGTTAATAAAGTGACTTTCTCATATAAATAGGTTGAAAGGGTACTTCTTCACTTAAATTGTGATGTATGAAAAGTTATTATAAAGCAACCTTTGTGTCAAAGCCCAAAGTAGGAGCTACAACATTTATCTTGTTTAAAATTTCTTTGGTATTCCCCCTTTTTAGAGCACAGTTTAAACACCCATGTTCATCTAAGCCTTACTGGTTAAAAAATGCCATGGCAAGGCAAATGTATCAGTTAAAAAACAGATTAAAGTTCACCATTTGTAAAAATTCAAGTTTTATAATAGCTTGCTACAGCAGCGATAAATTAGTCACCTTATTATAAAACTAAACATTTTGTAAACAAGTTTAAATTTTATTTTCAAAAACCAAATTGCACTAATCAAGAATATGAATTTTGAGAATCTAAAAACTAGATTCAAAGTATTGTATTACTGAATGTCCCCTTTAAGGTAGTACTTAATCTAGTCTAAAACGCCAATGATAAAATTCTTAGTTTATCAAGATAAACATAGTAACACTGGATCAAAAAAAATTGTTACGGCATAAATTGTGGCTGGCTTCTATCCAGTCACGTTGGGAATGAAGTCATCTTTGTAAACAATCCTGCTGTTTAAACAGCTAACCTAGGAATTTCTTCCTTAATGCCAATTTTAAGTAGTTTTTTTTAAATTCAAAGAATGGCAGTGAAACTTCTGAATTGGCCAGGACAGTCATAGCACTACTTTTCTGAAAACTTTAGTAGTTCAGTTCTATGAAATTCTACCCAATACTCAGTCAATTCCAGCTTGTTTGCTTAGTTAACTTCTTCAGTGTTTTCCTGGTGGTTTCTCAGTGCTCTTCGGTGGTGTCATAATGCCTCCACTACACACTGGTGACAGCTGTCCCTCCTTTCTGAAGGTGTTTACGTAATTTACTTCATCCTATAGGTGTGAAGAAATCATGCGGAGATTAACAGGTAAGATAAAGCACTGACCAAGTTAACGTCGAACCAGATTTTTTGGGTATTAATTTGAGACTACTTAGGCCTCATGTAGTGGTCTCTGTCTTTGCAAGCATGACTAGTCACATTTTGAACTGCCTAAAACTTACCTGGACTACTGGCATTGATCTTGAGACACTCCACAAATCTTGCTGTGACGTTAGTGTGCCCATTAGAACTTTCTACCCCCAGTAGCTTAAATCACTGCCCTGAAGTATTTCTAGTATCCTTACTATCAGTTTCAGTGACTTACTAGATAAAAAACCAAAAAGCCCCACAAGAAACATACCAGCATAGCCAGATAATTTGTATGTGTCTGGATATTGTGTCTATCTTCCATAGAAATCTTCTTAAAAATTTTCAGCTTCACAGGACTAGTACTTTTTACTACACTGACAAAAGGCACCATCCAGTCTACACATTCAGAAATGTTGTCCCATTCCAAACCTAGACAGAGGAAAATTAGGAAAATGTGAAGGTTCTGTCAGAAACTGTCTTTCAACATAGTTTGAGAATGCTAATCTGCTTTAACTTATTGGAACTTGATTTTGGCCTTTTTTGTTGTTGTTGTTTTTGGTCTTTATTTTATTTTAATTTATTTATTAGAGTGCACGTGATAGCCCGGGGAAGAGCAGAGGGAGAGGAATAAGCAGACTCCATGCTGAGTGCAGAGCCCAACATGGGGCTTGATCCCCACCACCCAAGATCCTGACCTGAGCTGAAATCAAGAGTCAGACGCTTAACAGATTGAGCCACCCAGACGCCCTGATTTACATGACCGTTTTGAGGGAGAAAATTAGAGTGCCCCCCCCCTTTTTAAAGGATTTATTCATTTGAGAGAGAGCACATGAGCAAAGGGGAGGGGTAGAGGAACAGACTCCCTGCTGAGTGCAGAGCCGGAAACAGGACTTCATCCCAAGGATGTGAGATATTACCTGAGCCAAAACCGAGAGTTGGACGTTTAACCAACTGAGCCACCCAGGTGCCCCAAGACTTTAGAGCTTCTTAACCAATACCTTCTACATATGAAACAAATTATCAAAACCCAAAGAACTCTTAAAGCAGAGCTATATCCATGTTGACTAACTTCAAATGGATATAAATTCCATTTGACATTTTTTTGTTTATACTGAAGATTAGAAAATACTTCTAACCAAAAGGGAAGGTAGTGGCTAAACTAATTTTCTTCCATTTTAATAGGAAGCTAAAGTTGATAAAAGTACCTTTAAAAGTGAACATGTAAGAAGATAACAAAATACAGTGCTTTACCTGAGGCTTTCTTAACCACTTCAATAGAGGTAAAATGGCACAAGGCAGCGGCAGCCAATATTCTGTACTGGAACTCTAATGAATCGATGGCTAGAATACACAGATCTAAAAGCTAGCAAAGGAAAAAGCAAAAGTACACATAAGAGAAAGGATGAGTGATACATGTTGCTACTAAAGATCAGTCACCTACCATTTTAGAGTACTTATGTGGACCCATATGTTAAGAATTGCTAAAACTACAGGGATCCAAAGATAATTTCCTTGAGAGTGGTGGCTTGAGTTAGGAAGTGAATAGACAATGACTGTTAGGACGCGGTGTGATGTATAGTAGTAGGAAGGGCACCTCATCCAGAGTGGGGAAGACTTGTGCTGCTTAAATCTTAAAAGATAAGGTAGCTAGGAAAATAGGGAGGTGTAGAGTATTCTACGTATAGGGAACAGCATTTGCAAAGATAAATGAGAAGGTATTCCTTTCCCTTGGAACTCCTAGTTCAGAACAAAGGAATTCCTTCATTCCTTATTTATGGGGGGGGGGGGACGGACAGACGGACAGTAGCTGGAGAGGGACAGATAAGATCATAGATTAGCCTAGGTTAGATCATAAAGTGTCATTAAGAATTTTAGTTCTGATTACTGAAATTACTGGAGGATTTTAAATCAGGAAAGATACATTTTAAGAATGATCCTTTAGAAACATGTTCCCTTCTGTGTATCTGCTTCACTGTAGTCTAAACAGATTAAAAGGCAGATCTATAATCCAGGTATGAAGAGCTGCACAAAGAGCAGAATGGTGTAAAAGGGCTAGATTTCAGAGACCTAAGGTGATACCTGTCCAGTGAAATAAAATTATGTTTGCTCACATTGGTCCAGAAGATAGAAACATAAGAAGACTTAGAAATAAACAATGTAGACACAGTAATTACCAGCTTATCAAATGTTTGTTCTCTACAAAAAGGGTATAGCTACCTAAGATAATTTGGAATGCTGGGAATTGACAGGAAAAAAAACGTCTTCATTAGAAAGTTTTATAAAATGAGCCAATTCTAAGATTTTACTGGTAATTCAGTTTTAGTTTCATAATGTGTTGACTAGATTTAAAATACAACTGAATTTCAACCTAGGTTATTTAAAACCCATCCCAATATACCGTAGTTCCTTCAGTTTCATATGTAAGCTTTTCATATCCTACACAGAATTAGAACATAGATTTTCCTCACTTATATATGGCAGTTACAGTAGTCTTTAAGATACTTACAAGAAGCAGGCAGGAAAGAACATTTGTTATGCTGGCCTAGGAAAGCGTAATTTGAACCTAATTTTTAAAAAATAACTAAGGTAATCTTAATTCTAATGTACAAAATAGGTACCCTGTGTATTCAAATAAAAAAAATTATATGATTATCTTATTCTAAAGATTTTATTTATTTGAGAGAGAGACAGAATGAGAGACAGAGAGCATGAGAAGGGAGGAGGGTCAGAGGGAGAAGCAGACTCCCTGCCAAGCAGGGAGCCCGATGCGGGACTCGATCCCGGGACTCCAGGATCATGACCCGAGCCGAAGGCAGTCGCTTAACCAACTGAGCCACCCAGGCGCCCGATAATCATATAATTTCATACCGTACTAAAGACAACTGGCTAAATACCTTTTTCCATTTTATATATCAAAAAGGTATTTAACTCTATTTTAGACTCAAAGAATGAAAAGTATTCATGATACATTTGAACTCAAAATTTAAAAAGTCTTCTAAAATTATTAAGCAACATAAATATTGGGAACAGAATTTTATGCATCAGCAGTTTTCTCGTCAACTAAGCAGTGAATTTAATTATGCTTTTTGTTGTATAGCTTAAGACTATAAATGCACTAAACAGCTATAATAAACAACATTAGCATATAGTCAATGAAAATACCTGAGCTATTTGAATGAACTTTTCCTGAGAATACTGAGGTAGAAGAACTTTAGGAGCATCTTTAAGAGCATCAACTTGAAGGAAGAGATTTAGCCAGGAGATGACTGTTATAGGACAGAGTTCCCATTTTAAAGCCTGTTAATGGAATTAAAATACCTGTTAATAAATGTAGATATATATACACTGTTATACATAGCTACTTTACTAAATAGTCATTTAAAAGCTTTCTGCTTTAGGTTTATTTCTTCTAGGAATTTTTTTTTTTTTTTTTTTTTTTAAGATTATTTATTTGACAGAGACAGCGAGAGAAGGAACACAGCAGGGGGAGTGGGAGAGGGAGAAGCAGGCCTCCCGCCAA